AAATATTGTACTCCCAAAAAAGACCTTAAGTCTCCTGTTTAAACTTGACTCAATCATCCTTCAATGGTTAATGGTTCAAGCCTGCTTTAGCCTTGTATTTCCTAACTCGCTTTGTAAATGCTACTTTCAGTATGTGTTTGTGATGTTTGCACCTTCTCAGACAGTTCAGTTACCTTAACTTTACACTTGTTTTAAATAAGGCAGAAAATACCTTTAAAACTGGAACTGATTTGTTAGGTGTTGGCCTGTTTTCAGAATCCAGGCAACTTGTACTGTTGCATGTGGTCAATTGACTAAATGCATTCAGACCTGTAGATGCTTTAGTTGCCTTACTTTGTTTTGGTTTTGTTTTTTTAGGTACCAAAGATTATTTTTTATTAAATGCACATCATCCTCTGCTCCACATTTGTGGATGAGAAAAACAAATAAAAATTGTAAAAGAGAATACTTGTTGAAACTTTATTTCAGGAACTTTAGTAAACTAAAGCATCTGAATGTAGCAGTTGGAAAAACTTGCTTGTTTTGATCTATGGTGGAAAACAAGAGGAGGGATGGTTATCCAGACAGGCGGGATCATTTTCCCTTTATTGATGGAAAGCTGGGAGCATCTGGCGTGGTGGTGACTAAGCGCTGGGACCCACGTGTTGCAGGGATCTCTCATTCACGCATCTGAGGCAGGGACAGACAGAATTCCTTTACGCCAGCTTTATAAACACAATGCAGTGTTTTGCTGTTTTTTTTTTTTTTTTTTTCCATGGCCTCAGGTTAATGAATCAACTTCTGGGTTTTCAGGTCTCACAACCCCTGAGGGGCAAGATGAGTTATGACTGCAGCAAATTTCCCACCAATGCAGTGAGGTTTATTCCCTACCAGTCTGGATTTGCCGCAAAGACACTTTTCCCTACAGTTTTTTATTTTATCCCGTTATTGGCCAATCGGAAAACTTAAATCAAATAATTTTGGTTTCAACATTTTTTTCATTTAGAGCTGCAGTGCATCCTTGTTCCTAAAATAACCAGAGGCAAATAAAACTATAAATCAAGCTCAGTAAGTACCTGGGGACAGATGCCTCTGAGTGTCCTGGATTCTTGTCCCAGATTTACTTACAAAGAACTGTGTCATAAACATCTTTATAATGTCAAAGTAGCTATTCTCTACATAATTTTAAAACAAACCTGTTTTTGTTTTTTCTGGGTGAGCAGCATAAAGTAGTCAAACCTTTTATTTTGACTGCAGACTAAATTCCACAGACGGCCACCAAACATTTGTCGCACTATTTCAAAAAGTCAAGCCCAGACTGGCTGTGACCAGCTTTTTTTTTTTTTTTTTTTTTCTGTCTGGTTTATTGCATAACTCACAATTTAGACTTTACTGGTTTGCTGCAAACGTCTTACCACATCTCGCCTCTGCAGGTAATTCTGAGTCTGCCTTCAAGAATGTTAAACACGTTATGAACTGAGCTTATTTAACAGTTTGGATTCCTAGCAGCTAGAGGTACTTATGCAAAATTAGATATTAAAGGTTGATGTAGAAAGCTGAAAAGTTCACCTTGGTTCTGGGTTGATTGCTCACTGAAATCTGGGGTGAAAGAAAAATAAAATCAGTATTTATAGCTTGTTCTCATGAGATGTTTAAGTGTTTTCACATACCCAAACAGCTCTCTGTTCCCGTGTCTAGGTGCTCTGGAAAAAAAAATGTACATTTTCAAGTTTTTTCACCTCTGATACTTCTAATAATACAATTAAATAGTTCTAAGATGAGAAAAATCACTGCCTCTCTGTAAGGAAATCATTAAGATAACCATTAGAGGATACATCTTTAAACTCTTAAGAAATATATTTGTTTAACACACTCACCATAAGTCTCCTCGGAGGAGTTGGAATCTGACTCTGGATTTAAAAAAGGAGATAAATGGAGACCTGATTCAGACTTGACACGGCTGTTGCTTTTTCAGCCGTCCTTTGCTGCCACCTAGAGGCATAATTAAAAACATGCCTCACCTTGAGCTGCGCCATCAGAGTATGCTGCTCCCTCTGCTGGACAACAGTGGTACAGTAAGACTTAAATGCAGTCATCCCTCTTACATTTCTTAAATGTTTTATTTTCAAAGTGACAGACGAAAAAAAAAAAGACCTTTTCAGTTTTAATTAAAATTTTCGGTCATTTTCTTTGTATACCCGACGCCCGCCCCAGTCTTTTGATGAAAAACGTTGAAAAATGTATTTCCATTTTTTTATTTCCATGTATTTATGAAATCTCTTAAATTTTATAACGTTTTCTTCAAGGTGAAGAAAAACTTCCATGCGTATAGAAGAAAACATTGATAATGACATCCCCATAAAACAAATGAAAAGCATCTATTGACATGTATTATTTTTAAATTTGTGGTTAGGGGAGCAGCTTCTTTACAAATTACTCTGCATAAAATAAGGAAAATGAAAAATTATTGTTAAACTTACAAATCCATTAAAATAAATGAAAACCAAATGTTTTGTGTAAAAAAGAAAAAGAATCTAATCTGGCATTCTAGAGGCCAATTAATAGTTGATTATGGTTAAGACCAAGTTATTAATGGTATAAAAAACAAAATAAAGTCAGTATATGTAGGATTAATGCAATAATATTTAAAAGAGCAGTTTTATGCGTGCAAAGGACATAAAAGAAACCATTGAGAGGGACATTCTATCAACAAACCTTTGCTTTCACCATCGTCATCATCATGCTGCTCTACTGTTAAAAACATTTTTAAAAAGAAACTTAGTTATAAGATTTATGTTTGGGAAATAAGAATCACTGTGTGCTGTACTAGAAACTTACCAGAACCACCTGTAACAGTGTCTGTGAAGTTAAAAGCCTGCGTTACCAAGGGAGCAGCTGTACTTATTTGATAAACTTGTCATGATTTTTGGTTTTAACCTTACCAAGATAGTCGCTGTCTTCATTCTGATCCTCTGTGACTAAACAGCAAAAGTTAAAAACCATTGAATTCTGTAAATTGAGTCATTTCATTTTGTTGTCAGATTTAAACCTACCATTCTTCTGAGCTGGTTTTCCTTCTAGAGCAGCCTCAAACTTCATCCCATCTAAAAGAATAAACCCATATAAGTAAGATTAATGGAGGAAAAAACATTAGAAAACTGAAATCAGATTAAAACTTTCAAATTTTAAATTTCATTTCTCAAAACCGCATACTTATTGTAACCTCCGTTGCGATCGCACCGTTTAACCGCTACATTTTTTTCAGAAAGCATGTGTATTCCTAATGTTAGTTGACACTTGTATTTTACCTTTTTCCTGCAGCCGATCATCTGCCCATGTCAGCCCATCTGCAGAGAAAAATTAGGGTTATGTCACTTTGTCAGTCTGTAATATTGTCCTTCATTACTGTTTTTATAAATAAGCATCTACTCACCATGATTAGTAACTTCCTCCTCTTTCTCTGCAGATTCCAGAGATGCTGAGAGGGCTACGAGTCATAAGAAATTCATAAAGGAGGATTAAAAATCAGAAATAACCAAGCTTCTGAATAGGAAAAAAAAGCATAAAAAATAGACTGTAAAAAGATAGGAAATAAATAAAAGATATTGTGGCGTTATTGATAACAAAAGGCATGCTATTCAGGCAAAATTTAGAAAACAGAAAAACGTTAGTAAAATGATGAAAAACAGAAATTCAGGCAAACCTTAGTTGGTTTACAAGCTTTGATTTTACTTAATCATTCTTTTAAAAATCCTTTATTTAGTTATTAAGAAAACACAACTAACTTTGATACTATATTGTATTATTCTCATATTTCTGTCTCTTACCAGAGTGAAATGCTGCCACAGAAAGGACCACAAATAGAGACACCAAAAATCTCATCTTGGCTGCTGGTCTGGTTGATGCAGGACTCGGGGTGTCTGACCCGTCTTGTTTCCGACTCCTATATAAATCTTCAGTCACATCACATGTTTTTACTCGACAGCCCGGCTCTGGTACCATTGTCCCCCCCGCACCTGAGGGGACAGCTTGGTGGTGCATCAATGAACAGACGTATCCTTATTTCCTTTGTCAAAGCCGCCCATTGTTGACTGCAGGCATCACATGGCCTTTATTTGGGAAGTGTGATGAAAAGGAAATGAAAAAAAAAAGGAACTCCATGTATCGGAGCTGAAAACAATGTTTTGCTGCTTTTTCATATGGAAATGGTGACTTCAGAGAGAACACTTGGCTCCCAATGTGGGTCAATGCAACAATTATCCCACTGATCAGAGATGCTTTTAGCAGGATTAGGGTGCTTTATCAAAAGCAATATGATACCTTCTATTCTATTTAAAACTTGATAAAGCTGTTGTGTTTCTGGATTTATGACACTAACCTGCCTCATAACCATAAATGATTGGACAAAAAAACCCAAAAAACAATCAGATGCTTCTTTCTGATGGAAGGATAACAAAACATGTTATTAGACCAATTAGGTTCAATTTCCCAATAAACAAAGCTTTATGTGCTTTGTCCAAAAAAGGGTTATTTCCAATAAAACAGCAGACTTTTTTCCTCCCCTTAAGTTTAATGCTTAAGATGTCTTTTATTGCAACCAAAATATTTTGGAAATGATTTTCAAAATGGAATCTTCCAACTTCACTCCTTATTTTAGATGGGAACTCCTCTGCATGTCCCCTTTAAAATAAAGGCTGAAAGGGGCTCGCTTTGATGGTGCACTGGTTAGTCTGTGACGTGGGCGACCTGGGTTCGAATCCGACCTGTGGTCCTTTCCCACATATGTCTCCCCCTTTCCTGTCAGCCTACTGTTCATAAAACGAGCCACTAATGCGGTAAAAATGTAAAAAAAAAATAAGGAGAACTCTAGTTTAATAATGTTTTCTAAGCTGGTATACGGAAAAGTCTCAAAGGAATGAAGTTAAGGAAAAAACTACCAACATTTTCCTAACCAGAGAAGAATCCAAAAACAAAGTTTTAAAGCATAGCCAGATGGTGTGGTGATAGATGACACAACACAATGCAGGAAAGGCATCATTAATTTATTAATTGTAAACACGTCTAAAAATCTACAGTAGTGTATGGGCGTTTTCAAGAGTGGTTTGACACGAGGTTGGTTTTGAAACCCATTTAAAGTGCCTTTTACTATTAAAAAAAGTAGAGTAAATCTTCAAAAAGTGCCAGAGGAGGGATTTTAGACAGCAGTTTAAATCAGAAATCTGAAAAAAAAACAGAGTAAAAGTCCAGAATCATTTACAAACACGTGTTCTGATCAGAAATCATCAACATGAAACACTTTGGATTTTAATTGAGATCTTAAAAGAGAAAAAAAACAAAATTTGTTGAACATGAAGACAAATGGTCAAATATTTTATAACCCAATTCTGATTATATTAAAGGCACATCAAATTTCTAAAGCAGATTTTTTGAATTCGTTTTGAAATAAGAGGTAAATACTGCTAAAAATTTGTTAGCCGTAAACACTCGCAGGAATCCCAGCTCTGTGCTGACGAGGCAGTCTTGGAAATGAACAGAAAACATGTAAACTTATCAGTAAATCAGGCTTCAAGTCAGAAAGAACAAAGACGAGTAGAATTAGCTTTAAGACAGGTTCAATACAGACTGACAAACTCTGGGAAAGAGGGAAGATACAGGATCTCCCCATCAGTGCAGCTTGGTTCACAGTGTTATTACTATTTTCTGATTCTTTCATGTTAAGAAATGAAGAGAAATTCACAAAATGTGTAAAGAAAAATCATTTGGGGAAAATGTTATTCATCTGATTAAGGACAAAGGCTTTGCTGCTTATTTAGATTCCATTTTTCTACTTTTCTTTGTTCCATTTCAGAGTTCTCCTCTCAGTCGGGTGTGCAGGTCCTCCTGGTCGACCTTTCCGACCTGTTTGTGCCAGCGGTGATGAGCCAGCAGGGCCACATTCCGGGCCGAGATGGCGCTCATCTCCATGGCACTGGCTGCCCACTCGACAGCATTGAGGTAGTACAGCCGGTCGTGCAGGATGAACGGAGGGGTCCTCCGGTGCGGCGGACGGTACGAGGGGTAAGCAAGCCACGGGGTCTCCGACACAGAGTCGTAGGAGAGGAACATTCGCTGCAGCTGCTCCTGGGTCAGTGATTGTGTGGAGAACACCTTCCAGACATTGGGATAGCTGGCGGGGGGTCGACTGTACCCATCAGGAATATGAACAGGATCCAGAGAACCGAGGCTGTTGATGGCGGAGCCCTTCGAGTCCGTGGTGAGGATGTCGGACACGGTGAACTCCGAGGCCGGCTGAGCTGTCCCCAGGTAGGACACGTTCAGGGTGCCGTGCACCAAAGTGGCCACCATCCGGTGGTAGAGACCAGGATAGTGAGTTGGGATGGAAGGAGAGAACCCCGTAAACGTGATGTCCGACTTTCCCTGATGAAGCGGCGTCGCGATGACAACGATGTCATACAAAGTATGTGCTAAGCCAGATTCTCCGACGTAGTTCACTTCATAATAGCTGACAGTGTTACCTGAAGACAGACAGCAGAAGGAACTTGTGTAAAAGATTAAATTTAGCAGAAAAAATGCCTGATTTTGTACCAAATGCAGCAATATGGAAGATACCTCTCTTTGATGGTCGCGTTTTCACAGAGATGGAGGTCACTTTGCCAGGGATTAGGTCACCTTTGCTGTGGTAGAGTAGCCCAGAACACACCCTCTTATTGCCGCCATCCACGGCCCACAGGCCTGAATCCGCCCCAGCTAACGACACCGCTCCTAAAACAACATCAGGTTAAACCTGGAGGTGGTGCAGAAATCTACAGTTCAGGAGACTAAGTCTGTAAGCAATAGAGGTTTATTTTGTGCGTTTAAGAAATCTGGAATTGCTGGAGTGTCTAAAGCCGCTGCTGAAGGCAACCATAACAAATCCCTTTTTTATTTAGAGCAAGCACCTGGAAGAAGGTTTTTAAGAAAGATCCAACCAAATGGAAACCCTATGGAGGAGAATAAAAACCACTTTTTATCCTTAGAAACATTTTTTATTTGTTAGAATGGCCTGGTCCAAGGAGAGATTAAAATCAATTTGAGGATCTAAATCAAAGCTTAAGAAATACAGTCAGAGGCACTCCCTGTTCAAGCTGACTCATCTATTTTATAAAGAAGAAAGGGACAGGGTTTTATCATTAAGTGTGACGTTCTCTGCTCGTCTGTTTTCTGTGGGGACTTGTTCCTGCGTGCCTCTCCTGTGTCTGCTCTCCTAAACAAAACAAATAGAGCTGGAGTGGTTCCAAGCTCTGTGTGGAGAAACTACACCACCTGATTTCAGTTTCCTGGGGGTCCACATTGAGCAGGGCCTCATGTAGAACTTGAACTCTTTTGGGCCAACAAAAAAAAGAAGACTACTTCCTGAGGGTTCTTAGTAAGAATAAAATTAAGGAAAAACTGCTTTTGTCCTTCTACAAGTGCTCTATAGGGAGCATACTAAAGCATACTGGGTATGTGTATAGTTCATCAGTAGAACTGTGGCTCAAGGAAAAACTCCACCAATGGTTGTGAATACAGAAAAAATAAATAAATAAAAGCTGCCATCTTAGTCTTAGTAGAAAACTTATTCAATGACTGTACTGTTGTCTTAAAAAAGCAAAGCATAATTGCAAAAGACACTTCTCACACTGGACATCCTGTTTGCACGGATGTCTTCAGGTAGACGGTCCAGATCAGTTAAAACCAAGAACGAATCGATTCACAGTTTTTATCCTAGAGCTGAAAAAAATGTATGGCACTCAGAACAAACCATAAACTGACAACAAGGATAGTGTGTAAGATGGTGCATGTATAGCCTATTTTCTTTATCTATTGGATTGTTTTTTATTTATCTTACTTTTACATTGTGTGCCTGTTTTGGATACTAAAGTATTTATTTTTGTGGCACCGATTGATGGCATTTTAAATATTTTTTTTTTTTTTATTACCTACCCTTTCATTTTCTTTAAAGACATGTTACTAATGATTTTGTTTCCACCCCTGAGCCAACACCAAACATCCACAGCTTGTAGAGGCACAGTTTTTTTCAGCAAAGATCATTTTACAAAAGCTCAACGCAATAGATTTCTTTTTCCTAATATATATATATAAGACATGTTTCGAACTACTTCTCTGTAGCGCTCTTCTTTGTACTTATCTAGCATTTTAAATCCCAATAAAATCCACTAAAGCTTTTGGTTATGATGAAACAAAAATCTAAACTTGATTGTTCACATAGGAGCTGTATTCTGGAAGACATACCCACAAAGCCGTTGATGCGGACGCTTTGGCAGTAGTTCACACGTGTGATGGGTGCAACAATGTCATTGATGAAGACCTGAGAAAATCCTTCTCCCATCATGGCCTCCTCTAGAGTCTGATTCATCAGGGTGAGGAAGCTGTCACCTCCCATAGCATGCAAGAGTTTGTCCACGCTGGAGAAAGAGTAGCCGTACTGCTGGTACTGGTAGATTCTGTCAGGATTTATAGGATATTTAGGACACTCCTGAGCTGCTAATGCAGAACTGCATGTAAATTCTGAAAGGTTTTTCATCCTCACCTCATGAATTTGTCCAGAATACTCTCCACCCACATCTGCATACGGATGAAACTGAATCCATACCGCCAGAGCATCTTGAAGATGTTAACAATGAACCAGTCGCTTTCTTCAAAAACAAGCTCCTTCCCATCAAAGATCGCCATTTTAGAAGGGAGGCCTTTTCTCTGAGGAATGCCTGTCGACAAAAAGGCATCAAATTTAGAATAGCAATAATACTCTGTTAATCCGTCACATAAGCTGTGTTATTTTGCTTTAGTTACCTAATTTATCAACAAACTGCTTCATGTGTAGATTCAGAGGATGGATCACAGCACCTCCGGTCTCATACTCATAATCGCCGATCTTTACCGTCGCCAGCCGCCCTCCAACGGTCCCCGGCTCAAACACATCGATCTTGACTAGAGGTCCAAACTCCTCCCTCAGGTAAAACGCTGCCGCTGTTCCACCGATGCCTGCTCCAATCACAGCTAGAACAGGAGCAGGGATAGAAAAGCACCACAGCGTTAGATTCTCCATCTTATAGCTAACAAAGGTTCATATTTTGGGTTGTGGAAATTATTTCATCATCATTGATGCATTTATAATTCCAGCCCAACTTCCAACAGTTCATTTTTATCAATAAAACTGTTTCAGATCAATCATTTCAGCCTTAAAATTAGAAAATAAATGTTTTTATTATTATTTTTTTTTTTTAAAGATCTGAGAGAATAAAAAAAATGTATTAGCTATATCATTCTTTATCATAAACTTGTTGCAAAGACAGAAATTCAGCTATATAACATAAAAAAAATTAGAATAGCATTTGAACAGCTTTAGGAAAACACAGAAGAACAAGGCCAGAGCAACATGCAAAACCTGATAGCAGTTTAGAAAATGTTCGGTGGTTTGATAAAACTAAAATTGAAATGTTTGGACATAGTAAAATGGTAAATGTGGAGGGGAAAAAAGAACCTTGTGACGTACGGGGGTAGCAGAATCATGTTGTTGTAGAGGACAACTGCATGTCCCAAATCAGACATCCTCATAAGTTTGTGGGAACATTATGGCAACATTTTGAAAGAACCGCCAGGATATCAAAGTTTGGGAGCCAGTGGGTTTTATTCATGGACAATAATCCTTAGCACACCTATAACTGATGTACAAAGTGGAAAAGGAAGCCATCAAAAAGTCCTGATTCAAGCTCTGTGGGAAATATGAGGGAAGAAACTGAGGGTAAAATGTATTTTTGGCAAACTAAAAAAACAACAACCAATTGGCTGTATGGATTAAAAGTGGCAATTTAGTTCATTTTTAAAATTGGACAATTTCCATCCATCTATGCCTATCTGCAGCTGTCTACAGGCGAGAGGCGGGTTACACCCTGGACAGGTCACCAGTCCATCGCAGAGCAACACATGCACACACCTAAGGAGAATTTAGAGAAGCCAATTAACCTAACAATCATGTTTGTGGACTGTGGGAGGAAGCCGGGAGAGGGGTAACAAGCACCGAAGTACAAATAATTTGTTACTGTACTTAAGTATACTTTTTAGGTATCTATACTTTACTCCATTACTTATTTTTCTTCCTACTTCTGACTTCTACTCATTACAATTTCATGCAGGTATCTGTACTTTCTATTCCTTACATTCTTTAAACAAACGTTACTCTTTACTCTTACACTTTGTTTTAATGTTTATAAATATTTATTTCACATCATGTGCGCTACCAAATGCAGATCATTGGCGCCATCCACATCTAATGAAAACTAGTGGAATAGGACAAGTCATATAACGCAAAAACTCATTGGTTAGCTTTTCGTCAAATTTATTCTGACACCAAAGGAAATGATCAGAAGCAAGCAGGTGTTCTTCAAACTTTAAACGTGAATTGTCTATGCCATGCTACAACGTCGGGTTCAGAAAAAGATGTTGAAATGTCTGAAAGGTCAGACACAGGCGAGAGTGTATCGGGAGACGGAGACCTACATGACATCCCTCATCCTTGGCCCTATCTCAAAGTATTTTTCGAAATAGCCGAAAAATTTAGCTTTCAATTCATATAGTGGCATCTGGCTGTTTTTTTTAAGGTTGCTTTATACTTTAAGTAGTTTTTGGAGCACATACTTTTTCAATTTTACTTGAGGAAAGAGGTCAAGTTGATACTTCAACTTTTACCAGAGTGTTTTTAAACTGCAGTATACTTCTACTTAAGTAACAAATGTGTGTACTTTTGACACCAATGGAAGCCGGAGTACCCAGAGAGAACCACACAAATTGATTCAGTGATCGTAACAGACCAGAACCAGATGTTTAGTAATTTCAAGTAAAATCAAGGAAGGTTTAAGCGACTTTTTATGGAATTTACATAAATATCTGCTTTCAGATGAACCTGCATTCAAGCTGAGCTATTTCAGAAAATGGAAATGGATGTAGATGGGTTAAGAAAATTGGTCTAAAACAGGGGAATGTGAAAAGAAAAAAATGAAATATACAGAGAATGAAATGTAAAAGACATTGAGAACTACTGAACAATTAATTAAAAAAATAAATAAAATAAAACCCAAAGAAAATAGAAAATATTTCAACCAAATTGTAAGGACAAGCAAATGTGGTTTTCAAAAGTTATGATTGTAAAACTGGCACATAATGCCTGCTTTTATTCCTAAAGAGGTGAGGGTGGATACTTTTTTATAAATGACTGTTTTCTGCAGGATGCTTACCGATCTTCTTGGGTTGCTCCTGCAGCTCAGAGGCCAGGGTCACACCTCTCCTGCCAGCCTGCCAAAGCCCCAGGAGCAGCAGGGCTCGCAGCGTGTTTAAACTCATAGTGATCGTCTGCAGCTCTGGAACATCTGCGCACTGAGACGAAACAGGAACCATTAATAACTTCTTTTTGGGGTCAAAGTTCGCACAACCTTCTTCTAGATAAACACTAAGCAATAGAGTAAAACACTGATTTCTGCAGAGAACCTTATTTCATCAAAATATGCGGAGAAAAACACATTAATACTATTTATTTTAACAGCTTCAGAACTCACCACAGAATATTTGATCCAGAAGCAGCTTTCACAGATTAACACTAAAAGTAAAACATGAAAGACCTTCTAAAACCATTTAAGTTCCCGAAACCCTTTAATAAATACTAACATAATAAAAAAAACAACAGAAATTTAACTAATTAACTAGACCAGTTCAACGGTTGAGACACGACGGGGAGCCAAGAACATCGCTCCTAATAGTAGATCCACTTCCGGGAACCCTTCACCCTTTCAAAATAAATGTCCTTTTTTAAACAGGTGAAATTTCATATTTTATTTTTATTTTAGCTTTTTAAGGTTTTATATTTTCTTTTTATTTGTGACATGTGGTCTTTTTAATTCTATCTGCCTCCTTTTCTTGCCATCTAGTTGCAAGTCTTGCAGTTTTTTTAACTCAGATAATAGATTTTGAGGCAATGTTAATAAGCTAACTGAAAAAAAAATATTTACCCGACTTTCTTTACAGTTGTAGCCTATTTTAAATCAGCGATATTAGCCGTATATTTTGTTCTTCCCGTTGCCAGTTCTGAGCTAGAGACGAGAGTGGTTTTATTTTGAAAGGAATCCGGCGGAAGTTGTCATTCTTTACCTAAGAAACGGAAAGAAATGCGGAAATGATCTCAGCCGCTCTCTAATCTTGGACCATGCTGGAATGGAGGTGACCTTAGCTGTTACTACATAGTGAAGAAACGTGCGCTCTGTAGCGGGATTGCTTGCCACGTTTGAATGAAATTTTTGTTCTGAGTGTTTTTAAAAAATAAGCAGGGATGGCAGAGGCACATCAGACACGCGTCCAGAAAGTGGTCGAAGACATGGTCCAAGGTCTGGAGAAGGACCACATCCGGAAAATGCAGGTGAGTGATCTAACTCAGACTTACACGGTGCTTCGTTTGCCAACATGTCCTTCTAACATGCTGCCGTTTTGTGCTGCAGGGACGCATGTTCAGATGCAGCGCAGAGTGCTGTGATCGCCCCTCAGACTCCATGTCTCAGGTCCATCAGTGTATAGAGAGGTGTCACACTCCTTTGGCCCAGGCTCAGGGGCTGGTCACCTCTGAGCTGGAGAAGTTTCAGGTTAGGAGCCTCACTCTACACTCATCAGCACATTGGCTGTTGCTGCAACCACAGATTTATAATTGCAGGGATATATAAAGGGATATAGTGCAAGTGCAAAAGCCCCCACCTTGATGAACCCCACAGCACATCCACAGTTAATACTGGATATTTAAATTTTTCATTAATTCAGACTATACGATTCTTGTTCCCTTATGCACTGAAATGATTTTGATAAGAACTGATGGTGACGTTATGGTTTTTCAACCACTGATAGGTTAATTTGACTGAATTCGGAAACTTTTTGGTTAGTGATGGCCTAGTGGGTTAGAGCAATGGTCTTGTGCTCTGTGAGGGTTGCAGGTACCCTGTTGGATCCCCACAGCCTGCACTCTGGGTTCCTGAGCAAGACCTTTAACCCCTGATAGCTACCCAGGCACCACACAATGGCAGCCCACTGCTCCCCAAGGGATAAAACGCACAAACTTAATTTAACACTGTGGGACAATAAAGGGATTACATATAGATCTCTGTATGTATTTTAAAGCATGGTATCAATGTACTGTAGTTATTCATGGCACTGTGTTTAACATGACGTTGAATATACGCAACTGTTAAGTAACTTTGCATTGTTACCCTATTCTACTGCAACATAAAACTAGTAGTTTTATAGAAAATGTTTCAAATGTCAGAGCTACATAAGTATAATCCTGCAGATCCAGATAAGCTAAAAAGACAGATGTTTATATTTTTGAAGGTGCAACATGATTATTTTCAATTACCGTAGACTGCATGATGTATGCGACCCATTCAATTTAATTCTTTAAGGTACCATCATCACCATTAAGATATCAGGATTCGTCACAGGGAAGGTCATCCTTGACTAAATATATTACTTATCAGAGCATGAATGCATGGGCCTTGAAATATCACCAATTATTGCAATCATCAATTATTAATAATCAATTATTTTGAAATCATCTATTTTGCTAAGATTGATATAATGCAAGTTTATGTATTGTGCAAATATTATTTACAGGCACTCAAACATTAGTAAGAATGTATTGTTAATGAGCCATATGTCATGACACATGACCCAGCATGTAAGTCCTTGTAACAATAAATACAATTATTTGGAGATAAAATATGTTGATGTACAGCTTATATGTTAGAAATCCACAATAAAATTAAGATGCATTAAACCTGGTTTCCAATCAAAGTGAGAATTGTATTATTTATTCTTTTTATATATTATCCTCTTATCTATTAAAAGTATGCATAGGAAATATTTTAAGCAACCTTGTGGAAGTAATTTGTTCTATGTGAATCTGAGAACATTTAAATTAGATATAAGTATTCTAGGGTAAATAAAAACAAAAATCTCTTTTAAAAAATAGTTTTTTTTTTGTACTTTTTATCTTAATGGGTAAATTATTGGATTTGCTTGAATGATTTTTGTTAGGAAAGATCAGTTTATTCTGTTTTGTCCTGCTCAGGATCGTCTCACCAGATGCACGATGCACTGCAACGACAAGGCGAAGGATCTCTTTGACTCCGGCTCAAAGGAGCCCGCCGTCCGGTCGCTAATGGACCGCTGTGTGGGCAGCTGCGTGGACGACCACATTAACCTCGTCCCTAGCATGACCCGGAGACTCAAAGAGAACCTGGACTCTATACAGCAGTGAGGAGTCTGGACTCAGCAGATGCAGGGTTGGTCACCCTGAGGATGTCGGCGTAGGAACCAGGAAAGATGGGAGGAGAACAGTCCAGAGACTCTGATAGTTAATGTCAGTTTGTTAGAGTTTAAAGTTTGTGAATTATCTGAACTCAGCCAGAAATCTGATAACACATTACAGTGTATAAAACAATCAGTTGTGGTTAGATTTTTTTTTTTTAGATTTAAGGTTTTAACCTAAAGATAGAAAGTTCCCTCATATGAAGGATTTTACACAGCTTTTCCCAGTCTGGCTCCCCTCACTGTTTCATCCTCATGCGCTGTGATTTTTTGTCTTCCTCCAGTGGTCAGATCTGTTTATATGTATGAATGAAAACACCAGAAATAAAAGATCAAATCAAAATGGTGAGGAAAAAAAGGATTTGTGCTTTGAGGTAAAGGAAAAAATTAGAATAAAGTTTGGTGTTTTGAAAGCCTCTGTGTTGGCTAACAGCCTGGCTCCATATCATGTTTAGACACTGAACAAAAAAGATTTCCATAACTCCTGTTTTAGAGCAACAGCTCATTTAGACAAGCCTATATATTCTTGATATTTGCACTTATTTGTTGGTCTTTTCATTTTATTGTTTCAGTTCCTCTCATTTAATTCGACTTATTCTAAATTGGGTACGACCGTTTTTTTCCTAACTAAACCTAATACTGGGACATTACAGCCTGCCGGATACAATCGGTGGCTAAAAGGGCTGTTCAACTACATTCATCCTGTTTTCTATCTTACAATAAATGTCTGTTTAAAAGAAAAGTTATATATGCATTCAACATAAAATTAGGCATAACCAGTTTGGGTTTAAAGTTCAATGCTCTACAGTTTTAGCACCCCTAGTGGTCAAATAATGCATCAAACCATCTCTTTGGGTAGAGCTCTGCATTCACTCATTCTGCCACTTGTATAATCAATATATAATCATGTTATGACAACAGATCAGTTTGGAAAATTTCAAATTTGAGAGATTTTTTAATCTTTGGATCTATTTGGATTCAAGTTCAAATAGTATTAAACTGAAGTAGATTTCTACTTTTGAACCGTTTAGGGAAGGTGATTTAAATGCTTTTAGATCTGTAATTTACAATTATTTTACATATTCTAACTCTAAAACTGCATGAGTTCTGGACAGCACATATTACAGAAAGACTTGATCTTAACAGTAAAACATTTACACTTCTTGTAGTTTGGCCTTATTTATTCATTGTTCTTTAATCAATGGCATATAGAGTTTGTATACTCCAGTTAACGATTGTGAAACTACCAAATTGTTTCAATAATTGATGAATTATGATTAACCCAATGGTTTTCACTCATATTTTCAAAATTCAGATGAGCTTACTTGTTAAAACTGTCCTCTCAGATTTTCTTAACTTGGTAAAAATATATTTCTAACCTCATAATCCAAAGAGGAGCCAAAAGTAAAAAGCCTCCTGCAAGAAGATAAATTGGATTGTTAGAATAAACTTTTAAAATTAGTTTTCTGTAAATATATTTTTTGCTTTGTTGGAATTATTATTTTTTTTTTAAAGTTTTTGACTCAATTGTAACCTATTTTAAAAAAAAACGGACATTTTAAAAAATGTCAAACATATTAACTGTAAACATTCAGAGGAATACGTCTGAAATCTAATTCATCACACATTACCGGTATCGCAACCGCTTCCCTGACATTTGTAACGATACTTCCACTGTAAAACAGATCCGACTGTGTGATAGCACCACGGCCCAAATGACAGGGCAGTTTTATTGGCAGAGATAGATATTTCTTAAGCAAACATAAAACATCCATAAAATAAAAGTGAAAAAATAAAATAAAATAAAACCCAAGTTTAACTTTGTACATAATGACAGCTTTACAGACATAGGAGATAAGTTAAAAAATACACCTGTGTTTTCAAAATGTTGGAGGTAACAGCTTGTCTGAAAAACATCCAACAGATATTGAACAGATGAATTAGGCTAGAATAAAAGATTTAGATAACTGCAGAGTTAATTTGTGTTTAAATGAGTGCAGAATAAAGATTCCACTTTGCGTAACTCAAACAGTCTCAAACCTCCCTGTAAATGATAATCATGGGATCTGACTAAACATCAGGAAGTGAGCACTGCAAGAAATGAAACAAACTGACTTTTACTCCCTTTGTTTTGAAATCCAGGAAACAATAACGATGAAGGACATGAAAAGGGCAAATTATTTGGGCACCAATAACATAAACCTTTTTTTTACTATTACCCATACATCAATCATTTAATATGCTGATTACTACGGTAGATTGATCCACATTAAAAGTGACCCATGCTCTGAGGAGCATAATCAAACCAACCAGACTATATTGATGATTTTAACAATGACTCATATAGGAATGAGGGGAAAGGAATTTGATTCCAATGCTTTTAGTAACTTTTGCATTTTGTTCTAAATGAGTTTTTACACATCCTAACAGGTCTCTCTTATAAACTACCTTTATATATATATATATATATATATATATATATATATATATATATATATATATATATATATATATATATATATATATATATATATATATATATATATATAAATATAATTAAAGGCTTTGTTAAGAACTCTAGAACCTACCAAGGCAGACAGAATCCTTCAAATCAGCCAATAACAGAAACTTGCACCCAACACAGGACACTCCCTTGAGCATCCTGCAGGTGGCAGCAGAGGAACGGACAACTGGAGGAGCTAGAAGGAGGCGGAAGACTCGTACAGTAGTAATCCAGGAACATCACAAATTAAACCAGGATGTGTCCAAAAAAAAAAAGGTGCCAATTTTTCTGTGTCCATATGGTAATAAAAAAAGAAAAACATGTCATTGCAAAGAAGCAAGGTAGATCTGATCTAGAACAAAAAGGTAGTGATCCCTTCTGAGCAGTACGCCAAGTGTGTAAAATGTGCCAAAAAGTCTGTCCATACGCTGTAAAAATTCCCCCAAACTCCACAGAAGTAAAAGCATGCAGGCGGTCTGGTGGACTGCACACAGTCTAGGTCAGTCGTTCCACCTCACCAAAGGAATGGTAGCAGCTAATGCCCGTTTTAGCAGATATCAAGACGTGACGCGAGCAGCACTTTCTGGCTCAGAGGAATCTGGACGCTGGTCTGAATGAGGTGACGTATACAGGAAGTTACAGCATACATACAGGGGGAATGATAACAGCCGACTGTCCAGGTTCATCACCACGTATTCCTGCGGGATTTAACAGAAAAGACTATGGTTATGCAACGTCTGCAGATTCAGGTGATGGCATCTACAGGCCAGCAGATATCACAGACCTGGTCTTTCTCCAGGGTGAGAAGCTGGTAGCCCGTAGAGCGACTGCAGACCAGCTTCCCTCGGCTATCAAAGGAGGCCAGACGTAACCTTTGCAAAAATAATAAATAGCAATGAAAACAAAGGCCCTCCAACTAGAAGGCATTTGGATTAAACAGTGAAATTAAGAGTAAAGCTTTTCAAATGTAAAATCTTTCCACCATACACAAGCTAGATTTACATTCCGCTGCTTTCCCCCCCCCTTGGATGCAAAAGAATCAGCTGTGTTTTAAAATCTATAAAACTTAAAGCAAGTATAACCAGGATGGGATTTATTTATTACTTTCTTTAAGGCTGTGTTTTGTAATCTTTACTCTTAATCAGATCAGTTGTTTAAAAAAAAGCTAATTCTATAAACTACCTGCTCAAAACAGAGCATTGCTGACATTGCAGCCCTTTTTCATTTTTCACGTTTAGTCAAAAACTACTTTAAATTCAAATTTTTTTGCAGCTTTAGGCAACAACAAGCGGATCCATATGTTAGAATAATTAAATAAGCAAACATCTGAAATTCTCACCTATAAGCCAGATGTCGTCTTGGTTGTAGGCTCACAGCGCCCCCACATGGCTGACTGAGTGTATTCCTTTTAAAGACTATAAAGCGGTTTGTGTACGTCACCAAAAGGTCAAACCCAAAGTTAAAGCCCGTCCACCTCCAGCAGTACTAAGACAGAGAAGAACTGGTTAATTTTCTGTACTGAAATTACACCCAATATATTAAAAAACAGAGATAACCGTAACATTAAAACCTAAAAACTCACATCTCCATCTTTACTCAGCTTCCTGCCACATCTCATGCTGTTCTGCTCAAACTCGTCTTTATTTGGCTGTTGAGGTCTAAACATAAAAAGACAGCAAAATATCACACCTGCTTCCACTGTATGTGTTACATTAGGATTTCCCTTTAAGAAAAGGGTTAAGCAGCATGTTATTCTCTGGATTTTACCCATTATCGTTGTCAAACTCTGTTCGGAGCATAGCAAACCACTGGTTTTTGTACATCACTGATAGCCAATCTACAACAGAAATTATGGACACAAATAATGAGCAGAGAGTTTAAACCATCTGAGTGCTTTTTAAACAGGACATAGGAATTAGGAATGTTAATGCTGTGATGTTGGTACCAGGAGGTAGGATGTTGTCTCTCTCTAGGATGCGTGCAGAGGCGAGATCGTTGATGATGTACTGGAGACGCACAAGCCTGAAAACTGAGTGAAATGGCGCCCCCTCCTCTGTGTTTAAAAATGGTTCCTTTTCACACAGATCTGAACATGGATAATTAGCGGGAAAAAAACAGTTTTTGGTGAAACACAGGGTTGAAATAAAGGCCATAGCCGGAAAAGATGCAGCTGACTTCACCTGTCCTACGTTTGCAAAGCCAAGCATCAGCATCAGACAGAAGCTGCTTGATTTGACCGTCCCATGAAGGATTGAGCTGTAGAAACATCCACTGCAGCGACACCAAGTTATAAAAACAGAGAATAAGACATGTTTTAAACAAGCTCATATTGAAATAGAGTCATTATGTTATTGTAATATATAAGCATTTCTCCCTTACCTTCTTCAGAGCAGTGTAGACGTCCATCTCCACCTGCATGACAAATAGATCTGAGGACTGGATTAGCTGCTTCATCACATCAGCCCTGCAGTTATACAGCACAGAACAGAGGAAATACAGATTGAATGACGTTTCCACTATGGAGAAAACCTTAAACAAGGTCTATAATTACACTGTCTCCATTAATCAAATGCCCTTTTTTTAATCAAGATTTTAAAGAAGACCCATGAAGTGAATCTTAAATGACATTTTTATAGTGCTGGGTATCGTTCAAAAATTTTCGGTTCCGGAACCAATAGCGATACCTTCACTTCGATACCGGTTCCTGAACGATACTTTTTTCGATACCAGTTTTATACTATTAATTCAAAGAAAAAGAAAATTACACAACATAATAAAGTACAAATCTTGAGTTTTATTTTAAGCTCTGATTTTCCCATTTACATTTTTCCTCTTACATAAAAAAACATTTTTCAGTGAAGAACAATTGCAAACAAGTCAGTGTCTAATAATTACTGTTACATTGTGAGGACCTTTTTACTTAGCAGTTTTTCTTTAGAAAAATTAACATGTCTGCTTTCTCAGGAGACAAACAAGCCCGTTGAATGGGATCCTACTGACAGCGCCGTTATGTTGGGGTCTGAGCGGCTCCGACAGAAATAATATTGGAAGGCAGGATGGTAATCTGGATGAACTGACTGCACTGATTAAGTTTTCAGGTGGATTTTCCCACTTAAAAACATAATAAAATTACTTTATTCCCACTGATCACAGCAAATATAGCTGCAAGGCAAAGAAAGGAGAGAGTAGCTCTGCCCAACGCGCGTCAGGGCCTTTTTTCGACCGCGCAGCCAGAGCAGCAAACTGCTTCAGCCGCGCGTCAGAAGCTGGTAAAAGCAGCAAAAAGGAAGCAGCAGACGCGATTTTGCTGCTCCTGCTGCGTCCGGTGTGAAAGCAGCATGATTAACTCTGCTCTGGCTTTGCTCTGCCCACGGGCTGCTAAGAGGAGGATGGTTGTGCTGGCTGCGGTCCGCTCTTCTTGCAGTCAAACACCGAGCAACTTTCTGCTCTTCAATTGTTTCCGTGCACGATGTATTGCATTGCACACTATTGGCATCAGTCTTAATAAAGTGAAGCCACACTTTTGATCTGAAGGGCATTTTAAAGGGGTTCCACGATGCTCGCAACCAGTTCACAACAGATACACATGAACCCTGGCTGTAGGCGTGACCACCTGTGTATTTTTCCTGGATGACGCAATCATGTTAAGTGCTACAGCCAATCACCGAAACTTGGTACCGAAAGACGAGGCATGTTTCGATACTTTGTAGAACCGAAGCATTTCGGTCGGTACCATAAAAGAACCGATGTTCGGTACCCAGCCCTACATTTTTATGCTGCTGGGGTAAATAAATCCATTTCTGTAAAATCAGTCATAGAACAGTATCCTCAGAACCATACCCAAGTTCTTTCATCAAGTCAACATTCTGATGCGTCATCAAATTGTTCAAAAGCCATTCGAGACACCTGTAAAAAAAAAAAAAAGATAAACAAAAAGAGTGTTGTGTAAGTATATCTATCTATTTAAAAAGTACAAACGCTATAAGATAATGGCTGAAGTCTGACTTTTTTATGACTGAATCCAGGCCATAGATGCTCGCACAAGAGTAGTAGCCACACACAGTCTTTGCACTGATGTTCTCCTTCATGGTTTCACCGCACTGCTGGATCAAACCATCCTGTCAGCACGACAGATAAAGAAATTGAGATAAATATAGAGATTTTTATTCAAGCAAATCCTTTTGTTCATTACACATAAAAATGCAGGGGGGTTTCATGTTGACCTACCAGTTGAAGCATGCATGCAGCTGCGAGTATACTGATCACCCTGCTGGGCTTGATCAGGACATCATCACGGTACAAAGATCCAAATACGACTTGCAAAGCTGCAGATAGAAACAGTAAAAGACTAAGATTAGAAAAAGAATGAGAAAACACTTGAGCAGTTGTTGGCTCTCTGCAGCTCTCACCTTCAGCATCAATGTTCTGGTCAGGGATCTCCAAGTTGATTTCCATCATATTTGACTCCTTCCAAGAGCCGCTGAACATGCTGGAGAAATATCCAGACTACAAAAGGGTAATAAAGTCACAGTGTGGCTGGTAGGTAAGATGGTAGGAAATCAAAGACCTAATAAATGCAAGAGAGTTGTAAGTTTTACCTGACGGAGGTAGACTTTGTGGAGGTTCCACTCCTGCCCCAGAGCACTGATGCGAACATCACTGTTTTCTCCATTTAGAAACAAGGTCTGATAAATGTACTTTGAGGTACTTTTCAACTTCTTCCTGCTCAAGGAAAACAAAATCAGAATAAGGAGATGAGGAAATTGAATTAATTAATCTAGTGAATTAAATTATTTGTGGACTTGCCTGCGAGGTGTATCTAGTATGTCATCATCTCCCTCTTGTTCACTATCACAGTCGCACTGAGCGTTTCGCCTCCTTTTTTTACACTCTCCACCATGCCGTCGGCTGCCGCTTTCTCCTTCTGCTGCTTCCTCTGGTCCCCGGTACTGAAACTTGCTGACCAGGCCTCCCATCTCTACAATAAACAGTAGTAAAGTGCAGAAGTAGAAAATTGTGCAGTTTTATGATTTTGTTAAATATCATTAAAACTAGATCAGGCGTAATAAATCTGATGTTTTCTCTCTCCTTATGCATCAATAGCAGACAGAGTCAGTGTCTATGACCTGAATGCATCATTGACATATAGTTCCTGACACCAAAGATAGGATAGCTAACAAAAGCTGTTTTTGAAATTCTTTATAGCAGTCTGCAATTACCAATCAGTACAATATAAAAGAGAGTTTGTAATTCACTAGCAAAGACACCGAAGATTACAAGTGATTACTCAGAAGAAGTGTGAGCTAAAATCCTGTTACAATTCAATCTAGTTTAAGTAAAGAAGTTGGTTCATAAGTTTAGGTCAAGAGGGTAAGAATCTTCCATTCAATTCAATGGTTCACGATAGATTTGATGAAACATCATCTGCCCATTATAAAACAGATATTACACTGATATCGACTCACAAAAACACATTGACTGTGTTTCTAAACGCTTACCATACATCAGACATTGCTCCATATAGCCTCATGGCACCTGAATTTCAAAGTTTTAAAAATCTTAAAGATGACCACCAAGATTGATGTTTTATATTTTTATTGATGTAAATGCATTCTTAATAACTGAATAAACCAATGGGTGCAGGTCAGTGTATCGTTACACTCCTGCTAATCCAATGGAAAATATTAGCCAATGACCAGCAGATCAAATAATGGAAAGTTCGAACCTTTTTAGGTAGAATCAAACCCACAACCTCTATTAAATTTCTTAGGAAAGATTACATCAGAAATGTCAGGTTTAAAAAATAACTGGAAATCTATATGAGGGGGCAAAAGCTTAATCAATGCATTTTTTACTTTCCTTACACCTACATTTGTCACTGTATTAATTTATTTATACGTCTAGGTATAAAACGGCAAAGACTAATTTTCTCAAATAAATTTCGCAAAGAACAGCAAAAAATTCCGATGAACATATATAGAGAGCAAAGAAAAAAAACTTACTGGACTGGCTTGTTATAAAAATGCTGATTAGAAAGGTTAAGCATTGGGACTGAATTTAAAACGAACGACATCATAATTATCTTTTATTTAGGTTCAGGATTTGTTTAGATGATATAGCAATATCAAAAACACGGGGGAAAAAAACAAGTTTTCCCATTTATCTGAGTTTTATTGCATCTTTCATCGCATGAATAGGGACGGACATGATATTGTGGTGGATTTCAAATCGGTGCCATTAGATTCAGCAGATTCCACAGAAAAAGAGTCCCGAGAGAACTTTCATTCATCAAACACGGCACAGACAGAATGAGCCAGGAAAAAAAAGACATTTAGTCCCACTTACCCAACAGTTAAGAAGTAAAGCTGAGAGTCTGGTGTGAGTTTTTTGGACGTTTATAATCTCTGCCAACCTTTTAGGTAAGACTTCAGAAGCAAGCTAACCTCGAAGCTAACCTAGCTACAAAATCAACCAACAAAATACTTAGAAACATTTATCCTCCCCTGGTTGGCTGTTGTTCTCAACAAGCCTCTGGGTGGTAACATGTATTTAGATACCGGTTACATTGTCCTAAATTATGGTGAATCGGAATCATAAAAGAAAATGTTTTAACACTTAAATTATATGCTTGCTTTGTTGTTTTTCTGGGTTTTTTTCCCTTCTTCTTCTTCTTATGGGATTTTATGGCGGTTGGCAGACTTGTGAATTGTGCATTACCGCCACCAACTGATATGGAGTAAAGCAAGAAAACAGGAAACGATTCACCCCCCCAAAAAAAAAAAAAAAAAAAAAAAAAAAAAAAAAAAAAAAAAAAAAAAAAAACCTGTGTAACTTAAACCAACATAATACTAAATCACATTTGCCCATATAATTTTAATTTACTCTAGGTCATCTTAACTCTGCCAGTTTCTGATGGTCCCATCGGTCCTCCCATCATACTTCCAACCATCTCCCAGTTCAAATCTTTAATGTCCAGATATTTTTCTGCAGCCTTCACTATTATTTTGATTTTTTCCGTTTTTTTTGTTGTCTGTGCAGTACAATTAATAACTTCTACCATGAAAAGAACAAAATTTGTCTTTTTAACAATAAGTGAGTCTTCATCAATTTTTAGAGATTTCTCTAGAGGTTTGGAATTTGCTGTGTGTTGAACTGTAGGTTTGGGTTTTTCTGACTGAGATGGGATCCTTTTTGCAGCTTCAGCGTAGGTTATTCCGAGCTCAAATTTCATTTTTTTAATTTCCTCAGACCTTTTGCTTGCTTCACAGCCGCGATAGGCAGCAGTATGTTCTCCACCACAATTACAGCATTTTATTTTAGCTTCTTTTCCACATTTTCCGTACTCATGTTCTCCTGCACACCTTCCACACCTCTGTTTCCCTTTACAAACTGCTGCAATGTGACCGAATTTTTGGCATTTGAAACATCTCAATGGTGGAGGATTGTAGATTTTGACATTATAGCTTATGTAACCGATGAATACTTTGCTTGGTAATTGCTCTTCTTCGAATTTAATTAGCACAGATAAACTGTCAGATCTTTCTCCGTTTCTTGTTGTTTTTAACCGTTTTACTTCTTTTACTTTTGCACCTCTTATGTTTTCCAGAATCTCTTTTTCAGAAATTTTTAGAGGAACTCCTCCAATGACTCCCCTGCTGAACTTTTTGTTCTCCATTAAGCTGCACTGAACTCTTATCCCGTCAATTTTGTTGATCCGTATTGCTTTGCCTTGCTGGGCGCTGTCTCTGCAGATAATTAGCAGGTCTCCACTGTACAGAATTCTGGCACCTCTGACTTCTCCGACAAGTTTATTGATGGTTTTTGTTAAGTGAACCGGATTCCAATTTGTAAAAGAGTCTGCCTGATTAACGACTTTGAATATGACTTTGAATTCATTTTGTTGTGCTGTGGAATGTATGGAATGATCATCACTGGATTGTTCTGAACTAGATTCCCCTTGAACTGATCTCTGTTTTTTCCGCTTTTTCTCATTTTTTGATGTTGCTATCTTCCAACCTTCATTGTCACTATTTCCCTCTTCCATCCCACAAGAATCGCTTCCTGTTTCCTCACTACTCACGGCCCAAGACATTTCTCCATAAGCAGCTTCAAAACACGCGCCATGCACCAAACGACCATCCACATGCAATCTTTCCGGCCTTCCACCTCCGACGTTTCTTCTTCGTGGGAAATTTTAGTGCAGCGTTTGCTGTGACTGACCCTCTACCGCCATCCTCTGACCTTCCGAGCGTTTTTTTTCCCTTTAGAATTTCTCCTTCTTTTATGGCGGTTGGTAAATAACTGCAGAAGTGCTCTACCGCCACCAACTGAGTGGAGACTAGAACTGCGACCCTCAACCCATCCAACCCACCAAAACACAGACAACAAAAAAAAAAATAGAAATAAACAAGCAACAAATACCTTGAGAACAATCAGATTTCGATAGATAGATAGATAGATAGATAGATAGATAGATAGATAGATAGATAGATAGATAGATAGATAGATAGATAGATAGATAGATAGATAGATAGATAGATAGATAGATAGATAGATAGATAGATAGATAGATAGATAGATAGATAGATAGATAGATAGATAGATAGATAGATAGATACATAGATGATAGATAGATAGATAGATAGATAGATAGATAGATAGATAGATAGATAGATAAAAAAAAAGATAAAATAAGACATGTAAAAAACTAGAAGTATAAGAACATATCCCCCAAAAATTAGTTGATATATAAGATCAATAAAAGGTTCAACATTATTTGTTTGTTCATTTGTTCAGGACGCCAAACCCCGTAAATCAGAATTTTCACTTAGGTTTTCACTTACAGGGAATTTGACTTGGTGTTGATGGGGCAGACAAAATACACACACACACACCCACACCCACACACACACACACACACACACATATATATATATAATAAGTTATATTATACGAGTATATATACTATATACACTGTGCGTTAGTTTAACAAGCAAACAATTTTACAAAAATGTTATAGAGTAAACTTAAGAAATTAAGTTGTACTTAGAAAAAAGAAACATAAGAAATAATTCAAAATAAATTCAAGACCAGTCTTAAAAATTTCATTCTCAATTCTGTATTGCAGTGTATTTACATATCTTTCTTTTCTTAGTAATCGAATGGGATCAGCGTTTATAATTTAATTTTCTCTGAAATACAGTTGAAGGAAAACCAAAATGTTTCTCAGTTATCCATGGGGGTGTTACCACTTCTCTGCTTGAATAGACTTTTTTTTTTTTATTGAAAATAAAGAATATCAATGGCAATCTCAACAATACGTCAATAATATAATGAACATTACAAGAAACAAATAAGATCACAACTCCTATTAACTCCAATAAAAACTAGAGGCTAGAACAAGGAAGAGAAAAAAAAAAACTAAAATAAATTATTAAAAAGAGGGGACTAACTGAAATTCTTCCAATAAATCAGACAATTTATTTGCTTTAAGGTTCTGCTTCTTTTTCAGACATCGGTTAAAGGAGGAAAGTTTCCTTTTGAGAGCAGAGAATGAGCATTATGCATAACGGCATTTATGGATATAATATTTGGTTATAATCATCAAAGTATGAACTAAGAATTCCACCTTTTTTATTAATATATAAACGAAACTGAATTATTTGTAAGGAATCTGCTTGAATAGACTTCTCGATATATTATTTAATTAGGTTTTATTTACGGAAATACTTTAAAAGAATGAACACGGATATGACGTAAAAGGGGGTGGGTTTAACAAAGAAATCAGCCAATGAACAGCAGGGATCTCTTTCACAACATTCCAATCCCTCCCGCTCCACAACACCCCCTCCTTCACCTCCCTATTCCTCCTCTGTGTGTGGAGGAGGGGGGGACCGTGACACGTAAACTTTGTCCGCCACATTCTGTCAGGACAGAACACCCTCACCTGGAAAGGGAGAGCAGAGAAAGACCAATTCCCTGTCCCTAATCTGAATCAACCAGAATCTGTAGAAAAAAAAGCAAAAAACAAAACAAAACATGGAGGCGAGAGACGCTTCAGCAGGTGAGGTTGCTATTAGCACAGGCAGTCAGTCATAGACAGCGGTTTGTTATTGTTTTTTTTAAATCTAATTACTAGTTAAGGCAACACTTAAAGCCACGATCTCAACCACAGCTTTGTTTTGTGTAACTATAATCCAAAACATGAACTGGCATGTTGTTATTGAGAGTGGGTCCATTCAGATCTGGTTTAGATTTGTCTATTTAAGGTCATTTTTCGTTTTTATTCTCCTTATAGGTGCTTATGTTGGCACTGAGAGTGTCAAACAATCTGCCAAGAAGGATGCAGCTCCAAAAGCAGAGAAAACTCAGACTAAAAGCAGGATGGAGGAGTTATTTGGGTTCAAAAGGGAGGACCTGAGCTCCTGGCAGAACCTGGTGGCCCTCCTGAACCGACCCACTGATCCTGCATCGCTGGGCATCTTCCGCTGCTTGTTTGGTGATTCAATCAAAGCTCTCAGTTTCTTAAGTACAAGTTTGTTATAAAGAAGATCCTAATTCAAACCTGTGTTTTGTTTCCTTTCCTTTTTCCCGCAGGTCTGCTAATGGCAATAGATATCACACAGGAGCGAGGCCTCAGCCACCTGGACTACAAATACCTGGATGGGGCCCCTGTGTGCCGCTTTCCTCTCTTCAATTTCTTAGAGCCCCTTCCGCTTGATTGGATGTACCTGGTGTATTTGGTGATGTTCCTCGGTGGGTATATTATCTGTTAGGAGGAGCTAATCTAAAGTCTGATATGAGGCTGTGTATTTTAATGGAAGCTGTCTGAAAACACAGACATATACAGGTGCTGGTCATAAAATTAGAATATCATGAAAAAGTAGATTGATTTCAGTAATTCCATTTAAAAAGTGAAACTTGTATATTATATTCATACATTACATACAAACTCATATATTTCAGATGTTTATTTTGTTTAATTTTGATGATTACAAATGACAACAAATGAAAATCTCAAATTCATCATATCAGAAAATTAGAATATTGTGAAAAGGTTCAAAATTGATGGCCCCTGGTGCCACACTCTAATCAGCTAATTAACTCAAACCACCTGCAAAAGCCTTTAAATGGTCTTTCAGTCTAGTTCTATAGGCTACACAATCATGGGGAAGACTGCTGACTTGACAGTTGTTCAAAAGACGACCATCGACACCTTGCACAAGGAGGGCAAGACACAAAAGATCATCGCTAAAGAGGCTGGCTGTTCACAGAGCTCAGTGTCCAAGCACATTAATAGAGAGGCGAAGGGAAGGAAAAGATGTGGTCGAAAAAAGTGTACAAGCAAGAGAGATAACCGCACCCTGGAGAGGATTGTGAAACAAAACCCATTCAAAAATGTGGGGGAGATTCACAAAGAGTGGACTGCAGCTGGAGTGAGTGCTTCAAGAACCACCACACACAGACGTATGAAAGACATGGGTTTCTGCTGTCGCATTCCTTGTGTCAAGCCACTCTTGAACCACAGACAGCGTCAGAAGCGTCTTGCCTGGGCTAAAGAGAAACAGGACTGGACTGCTGGTGAGTGGTCCAAAGTCATGTTCTCTGATGAAAGTAAATTTTGCATTTCCTTTGGAAATCAAGGTCCCAGAGTCTGGAGGAAAAGAAGAGAGGCACTTCATCCACGTTGCTTGAAGTCCAGTGTAAAGTTTCCACAGTCAGTGATGGTTTGGGGTGCCATGTCATCTGCTGGTGTTGGTCCATTGTGTTTTCTGAGGTCCAGGGTCAACGCAGCCACATACCAGGAAGTTTTAGAGCACTTCATGCTTCCTGCAGCTGACCAACTTTTTGGAGATGCAGATTTCATTTTCCAACAGGACTTGGCACCTGCACACAGTGCCAAAGCTACCAGTACCTGGTTGAAGGACCATGGTATCCCTGTTCTTAATTGGCCAGCAAACTCTCCTGACCTTAACCGCATAGAAAATCTATGGGGTATTGTGAAGAAGAAGATGCAATACACCAGACCCAACAATTCAGAAGAGCTAAAAGCCACTATTAGAGCAACCTGGGCTATCATAACACCTGAGCAGTGCCACAGACTGATCGACTCCATGCCACGCCGCATTGCTGCAGTAATACAGGCCAAAGGAGGCCCAACTAAATACTGAGTGCTGTACATGCTCATACTTTTCATGTTCATACTTTTCAGTTGGCCAACATTTCTATAAATCCTTTGTTTTTATTGGTCTTCAGTAATATTCTAATTTTCTGATATGATGAATTTGAGATTTTCATTTGTTGTCATTTGTAATCATCAAAATTAAACAAAATAAACATCTGAAATATATGAGTTTGTATGTAATGTATGAATATAATATACAAGTTTCACTTTTTAAATGGAATTACTGAAATCAATCTACTTTTTCATGATATTCTAATTTTATGACCAGCACCTGTACATTAATAAACAGATTAGATACTCAGCCGGAGGACATGACTGCTATTTTAAGCAAGTCTGTCTGTTACGTACCTGGTCACCTCCCTCGGGAGGTTTTCCAGGCATGTCTTATTGGGATGAGGCCTTGTAGAAGGCCAAGGACACGCTGGAGGGACTTTGTCTCTGAGCTGGCCTGGTGTTGCATTGGGATCCCCCCGAAGCACCTGGAGGAGGTGTGTGTTGATAGGGAAGTCTGTGCATCTCAGTTTAGACTGCTGCCTCTGCGACCTGGCTGCATAAAGTGAAAGAAGATGGATGGATGGATGTTAGAGTTGATCTTGTTCTTGCATCTGGGTGAAAGATTTACTCAAGATAAAGTAGCACTACTTCAAAAAAATGTCTGCTCTGTAAAAGTAAAAAGTAGCCGTCCATTAAATTACTCAAGTAAGAGTAAAAAAGTGCTTTAAGTTTCTTTTAAGTTTCTGTTTAAAATGATGGTAATTAGACAGACCATAAAACATATATGTGCAAATTCATTTTGTTTTAAATAGTAAAACAAAGTAATGAACAAAATTATAAAAAACTAAATAACAATAAAAAAAAAAAATCAGTGAGAAGAAGCATGTCTCAAAATAGATTTTTTTGGCATATGAAATAAGAAACCATTTCATATGTAAAAGTATATAAAGTATGCATGACAGAACATGGCAAAATGCTTCCACTGACGATATATACTTATTTATTGTATATTACCTTGAACTTCATGTCCTAGATGTCTCAGCAGAGAGAAGTAACATTAAAGAAATAATCATTTTCATGAAACTAAAAGTGGAGTGGAGGATGTTCTTTTTCCAGGTGGATCATCAAAATAAGTGGTCCTCGTAACTGTCAATCATTGTGGTGATAGGTTTACGTAAGGCCGTCCTACGTGCTCATCTCCATTTTCAATTACCTTGGTGAGTCTGACATAGTGTAAAAATTGCAAATCTTCTTTTGGAAAGTCAGCTTGTATGAGCAATGAAAAACAGCAACTTTTAAACAGAGCGTGCACGAGGAGAAATGGGCTCGTTCACGCTCTCGCACGTGTTTAATAGGTGTTCCCTCTCTGTAGCGGGTATAGGGTTGTGCATGTGCATTTTTTTTTAAAGTGAAGAGGACGGGTCTTTTCAAAAATTTGTCAAAATCCTCCACCATACCTTTGAACAGTCTTGCTATTTCTGACACATTTGAGGTTACAATATGCATGATCATTTTTAAGTAAGATGACTTACATTGGTAGCAATACTGTTTCTGATGATATTACTTAATGAAAAGTAAAAAGCTACTCTCAAAAATATATTTCTATAAAACATTTTAGTCAAGTTAATGTAACTTAGTAAATCGAGCTAGTTACTACCCACCTCTGCTCCTCTTTTAATTATTACTTTAGTTTCTTGATGGTCGGCACCATTTGGTTGAGGCCAGCTCTTTCTCCACGGCAGTCTTTGATCGCTTTCAGAATTCAGGAAAAAAAGATACTTTTTTTTCAGCTGTTCTGTTTTAGATTTTCTGCTTTGACATCATTGACCTGTCAGTAATAAAGCCTGCACACAGTCTTTGACAGATATTTGCCCCAAGAATACTTAAATACACACAGGTGTCAAAGTTCAGCCAAATAACTGCAAGGTGGCCTGTTGGCAGCAAAATAAGCCTAGATAATCACCGCCACTATGCCTTTGTTTGTATTTACATTGTTCCAAAGTTTTGGTGTTTCATAAAGATGCAGCTCAGCAAAACAAATCACTAATCAGACCTTGTTTTAAAAAAGAATAGTTTCTTACTTAAAACCCCGTAATATTTCTCTGGCCATTACATGCTTTGCTTTTTGGGTTATTTTCCTGAAATATTGACTCCTGTTTATAACACCAGTTTTAAATCATATTACTTTTTAAATTATGGTAATTAACAGACTTGTTTATAAAAGGCCTTTTGTCCCTTTGTAGATCGATAAGCAGCAACAATTTCTGATGACTTTCCATGCTTTTCGGTTTTCCTGAAGATTCTCAACTGTGCGCTAAACTGGTTTTATAGAAACGGTCACACTACAGTTTAAAGGAACTTCCTAAATCCATCATGATTCTGTCCCTCTTTAAAAGTAGACGGCCGCTCAGATTAACTAAAGCAGTGTGTTTATTTTTTAATCCAAGGTGCACTGGGCATCATGCTGGGTTGTTTCTACCGCCTCTCATGTCTCATGTTCATCTCGACGTACTGGTACATCTTTTTCCTGGATAAAACGGCGTGGAACAACCACTCGTACCTTTACGGTCTCATCGGGTTTCAGCTCACGCTCATGGACGCCAACAGATACTGGTGAGTTGAAGCCTTTTTAGTCTGCTTTTGACAGCGACGTCACGTTTTTTTTTTTTCAAGCACTGTTTGTGGATGTGTGTTTTTTCAGGTCGGTGGACGGATTACGCAAACCTTCCATAAGAAACGCTCATGTTCCTCTCTGGAATTACACCATGCTGAGGACGCAGGTTTGCTTCAGTTATCATCAACTTATCTTTAAATGTGAAGTACTCATAAATGCATTGCAAAAATGTGAAATAATAATGTTTGTTTTTTTATTTTCAAAGATCTTTATCGTATATTTCATTGCTGGGATTAAAAAACTGGACGCAGACTGGGTGGAGGGATATTCCATGTCATATCTGGCACACCACTGGCTCTTTGATCCTTTCAAGTATGTTTTCATTTAATTCCCTTTGGGTTCAACTTCTGTTATCTTGTAACAGCCTATTTTTTATTTTTGTATTGGTCACACCGACACAGCCTTTTAAGGCTGCATGAAAAAACCATCTATGTCAGAAAGCTGTGAAACATGGTGGTGGCAGCATGATGCTTGGAAAATGCTTCTCTTCAGGAGGAACAGGGAATGTATAAAAATAATCTGGTACAAGCTGCAAAGCACATGAAACTATGTAAGGTTCAACTTCAAGCAGGAAAACAACTTTAAACATACAGCCAGATGGTAAATGGTTTGGATCAAAGCGTGTTTGAATTGATGTCCCAACACACAGACCTAAATCGAATCAGTAATCGGCTGCAGAACCTGGGAATTGCATGTGAGAGAAACAACCCAGTCTGATTGAGTTTGAGTTATTTTACAAAAAAAAAGGTTAAATATTTCTAGCTTTGGTACAAATATATACTATCAGGGATGTACTGATCTGATATTAATAACGGATATTTTCCCACTATTAGCCAAAAAAGTAATAGTGGATTTTATCCACTAGCATCTACAATCTCCGAACATTTTCATGCCTTTTCAAGCCTTTTCTAACATTCTACTGTATAAAATAAGCAATAAAAGCTGGTATGATTCATGCTAATATCGTATCGGGTCATTATCTGTATCGGTCAATTCTTAAAGCTACTACTTTTCTTAATACTTTGCTGGTATAAGTGCAGCAAAAGCTAAATCTTCCTGTTAAAGGTTTTTTTTTCCCCTCTGTCGCTACATGCATGCTGGGTATGAGGAAATGCTGCAGAGTCAACTACAGAATGCAAGCAAATGCCTGCTATCTAGATGGAGTGAATCCTGCAAAGTTAATAAACTGCTTTGACTTAAAAGGTGGTTTTCCTGACTTATAGGGACATGAGTTAGAAGAACTATTTAGATTTTTACAAACCCTGCATTACTTTATTTATGGTTAATTATGATAAAATGTAAAAAGAAAGAAAAATTCCAAGAGGTATAAATTGCTTTTGCAAGGCACCCTATTTCTATGTAGGGGTGACAAAATCAGAATAATCAATTATTAAAATGAACTAATCAAAGAATAATAAACTGGAATAGATGGACAAAACCTGCTGTTTGCTGTAATGTATTCAAAACTGTGCAAAAAAACCCCAATATTTTACATTAAATTCAAATTTTATTAAAATAACATTATGCTTTTTTGTGAAGGAATGTCTTAAAACCCAGAAAGCAATATGCCAGCGTCACTTTATGGATGTTTTTTTTTTTGTCCTGACCTGATGTTAACTCAACAAGAAAAAAGCTTTAACTTAAATTTGTAGCTGCAAGTGCATCCTTTGCTAACAATATAAAGACGTGCTATTTCTGGTGTGTTTTAAGCAGTAATATGTTGATTTTGTTTAAGAAAAAATAAGTAGATTATTTGATACTTGCAATTTATTATATATGTATCTCTATTGTTTATAAAATAAACATTAGTAGTTAAGACGTATCAGCAGAATAGCCCAATTTTTTTATTACTCTATTAATCATCCCAATATCTGACAGAACAATTGATTTCTAGTATAATCTGTACCTGTAGCTGATCCTTAATCATGTTTTTGTTTTGCAGAGTGATTCTTCCTGTGGAGTGGGTGAGTCTGCTGGTGGTGCACGGAGGTGGTCTTGTCCTCGATCTAACCGCTGGATATTTGCTGTTTTTTGACGCCACACGACCATTTGCAGTTTTTTTCGTGTCCTACTTCCACTGCATGAACTCTCAGCTGTTCAGTATCGGTCAGTGAGCTTCTATCACGGCTTTTTATTACCAGGAAAGCTCTAAAACCTTTGTTTTAGCTCACAGTTTTGTACATTTTTAAAACCCCTTCAGGAATGTTTTCCTACACGATGTTGGCAACCAGTCCTCTCTTCTGCTACCCCGACTGGCCCAGGAGGTTCTTCGCCCGCTTCCCATCTTTCCTCAGCGAAATGCTGCCGCTCACCTCGGCGGAGATTCAGCCCAGTGCCTCCTGCTTTTACCCTCAAACCAGCAGCACCAGCGACCGGCGGGAGACACAAAATCCTGCAAAACCTTCCAAACTGAGATTGAAGCACAAGCTGGGAGCACTTTTTACCATTCTTTACATAGCCGAGCAGTTTTTCATGCCTTATTCACATTTCATCACCAAGGTGTGTCTTCAATGTCTTTAATATTTCTATTTCTTTGCGGTGCAGATAGATAACTCCCCCCTCTGCTATCAGCCTAGTTGCCTAATCAGAGTCAACAGTCATTGTTTCACCATCAACAGCAGTTTGAAATCTTTAAACTAGATCCTTATCATATCTTATTCATCACTGATGAACTAAAAACATGCATGTTTTCTGCACTGCATGTGATGTAAGGTATAAACATGGGAATGGGATTTTAAATGTTTCCCTTTTTTTTTGTTTTGTTCAGGGTTACAATAACTGGACCAACGGTTTGTATGGCTACTCCTGGGACATGATGGTCCACTCCCGCAGCCATCAGCATGTGAAGATTACCTATAAAGATGGGAAAACGGGGGAAATTGGATACCTGAACCCAGGGGTGAGAAGACTGGAACATGCTGTCAAAGTGAAAATATATGGGGGATGAAAATGCTTGTCATTGTAAATATTTTTTATCCATCAACTGGCTCCAGATTTGATCTGGTCAAAATCTGAAATATTGGAGTTTTTTTCCCCCTCCATTATTCAATATATTCTCCAAATCTAGTAACATCCACTGCCTGTAACCTGAGTATTATATTCAGGTGTGCCTCAGCTGCAGGGTACAGACCTTTTAGGACTTGACTGTGAGAGCCCTGGTCTTATGTAGCTCTCATTCCTGCCTGCGTCCAGGTTTTCACTCAGAGCCGTCGCTGGAAAGATCACGGAGACATGCTGAAGCAGTATGCTACCTGTCTCAGCGGACTGCTGCCAAACTACAACATCTCTGATCCTGAAATCTACTTCGATATCTGGGTTTCCATCAATGAACGCTTCCAGCAACGGTAGGAGAGCATCGTTAACACAGAAGCTGGATTAGGTGGGCTTTGAATTTACTCAGTTCTTTCTTCTTGAAGGATATTTGATCCTCGCGTTGACATTGTAAAAGCAGAATGGTCGCCTTTTAAACCAAACCCATGGCTGATGCCCCTGCTGGTGGACCTCTCACCTTGGAGGACTAAGTTCCAGGAGATAGAGGGCAGTTTGGACAATCAGACTGAGATTGTCTTCATTGCTGATTTCCCAGGTTGAGTCTCTCTCTCTTTTAGTCTAAATTCTTCTGTAAAGCAGCAACATTTATTTCTGGTAACTCCCAGCTTGTTTACTCGCAGGTCTCCACTTGGAGAACTTTGTGAGTGAAGACCTGGGGAACACCAGCATCCATGTGCTGCAGGGGCAGGTGAATGTGGAGATAGTGGAAGAAAAGAAGAACCACACTCTGCAGCCAGGAGAACAGATACAGGTACGGTGAGCTCTATTTTTTATTTCATTTTTGTTATATCAGAAATAAAAAGTTTTTCTGTTCTAACATCATAAAACCTTTTCAAATAAACCAAAAACTATTTACTATTGACCAGAAATACTGTTTATAATAAAAGTAAACACACTCATCTGATATTCAGGCTAAAATCAATTTAGCCTCTGATGACCAATTTAAACCTTTCCGTTTACTGGGAGATCTTAATGTTTTTTTTTTTTGTTTTTTTTTAAAGAATTTCATATGTAGTTTACATTTTCTTTTTCTTTTTTTACCAATTGTGCTGATACATAAATACAGAGACAATTTCAGAAACAAGACAGCTGTACACATAAAGGGAAAAAAAGGCAATCCACAGAAATAGAAGGGAAGTCCTCCCCTTTTTCTGTTTTCTGTCCATTACATTTTTTCTTTTTTCCCTTTATTCTCTTTTTTCCTCTCTTCTCTCCCAAGAAAGAAAAAAAAAAACCTCATGTCAATTAATTATAACTTAAAAATTAGTGTCTCCTGTATTGCTTTCCATTCACAAACAAATTTTAAACTACAGTGATCCCCTTAGAAAAAAGCTGGAACAAAAAAAAGTCTTAAAACTGACAATATAAAGTAAAAGTTAAAAAAATAATATTTAATATTGAATGCTTTTTCTAATCCAAAATTGTTTAAAATGGTCAATTTGAAAGAGTAATCTACAAAGTAATTACGGTATCAGTAGTAGTTTGACTTACCGGTACCTAAACTTAGGTATGTTGATGTGTGCAGGTTCCTGCTGGGGCTTATCATAAAGTTTACACCGTGTCTGAGAGCCCGTCTTGCTACATGTATGTCTACGTCAACACCACAGAAGCAGCACTGCTGCAGAACTTCACCAAACTGGAGGAGATCCAGGAGCGCATACGCAATGGAACAGGTGATACAAAACAAGGGATGCTATAAATCCATTTAATTCGTTTCACTAAAACACACCAAGTTTTTTGAAAAAAAAAGCTCTAAAAAAACTTTTTTTTTTTATGCTCATATCCCATCTGCCGAGGTTCCTTGTGTTTCTGGTTCCTCCTCCATGCAAACATGAAAAGGGATATGTTAATAATTGAGTCTGTCTGTCCAGAAACGGAGCCTCTTCCTCCTGAGCTGCTGTCTCTTAAGGCTGCAGATGATGACCAAGAGGCGGAGGTCAACGCCACGGACCCCGTGGTGCAGCTGTTCCTGAAGAGGCAGCGTCGGATGAAGGAAGTTAAGAAACGCAGGGAAGCGGGTGTGCTGGAGCGACTGAATCGCTTTGCTGTTAAAAAGTACTACGCCATACGCAGGGGGTGAGTGCTGACGGAAACATTTCAGGATACACGCATCCTACCGAGCCCAGGAAAATAAACAAGAGTTGAATTTTGATATAGGACATTTAAAGTCTGGGTAAGAATTAAAAATTATAATGAAAGGAAAATTAGAATGGAAATATATTATTTCAGCTTTCATTGATGTAAAAATCTAACTTTTTTACAAGAAATTGGATGAATAAACAAATTTTTCAACTGTGATTCATTTTGATATCGATATTTTTTTCTAACAATGTTTGTTTTCCCACTGATTGCTGAACTATATCAGTAAATCTTTCATCTATGACAGATCTTTTCAGTTTACCCAATATTTTGGGTTCATATTAAACAACTGACTTAAGGAAACTTTTATCCCACCAAAAATAAAAAAGGAGATTTGGTTTGACTACAAGGAAGAGGAGCTAATTAAACAGTTAAAGCACCAACTAAACCAGCTCAAGCTTGTGTTATCTGTAGACTACTGCATGAGAAAACCAAGATCTTCTTTTTTTACTTTCTTGATATTTCTAAACAGTGAAGGATAACCTGAACAAAAATCTTTTAAATCCTATGAAACTAATCATCTTAAAAAAAAAAAAAAAAAAAAAAAAAAAAAAAGCTGAGTGGAGACAAGCGGATAAAAAGGAAACCTAAAGATAATGATCAGATAATGACTTTTTTTTTTTTTTTTTTACATTTTCAGATAGTTTTATATTTATTGCAACAAAGCAACCTTGACAACTTGAGATTAGCTCAATTTCATAACTAATAACTAGAGCAATGCTTACCCAGAGTCAAAGCTCCTAACCATGTTCCTTTCTCTGGTAGATTCCTGATGACATCCATTGCGATGAGAAACCTGATGTTTGGTCTCCCTCCTGTGGAGCAGCTGAGGAGAGAAGTTGCCTTTGCCAACATGAAGGAACCGGAAGCAGAGGCCAACACAGATGAGACGCTCAAACAGGAAATTGGTCATGCAGAACTTTGAGGAGTTAAAAATGATAAATGAAGTCCAGGTGCTCAATCAGACATTCCTACAGATGTTACTGCTAGACTGTTACTCAACGGGGTCCTCGCTGCCCAGGCTATGGAAGTACTCCAACATCACTGATTTTCAACTGAATTTTTTTGCTCTTGTATTTGGGTTTCATAAAGAAAACACGATGCAGAAAAACCTAAATCCTGTATGTTTGTGTTCACACAAGATGCCATCACTTCTATAAGGGCTGTATTATTTTGGAAGAGGTACTTCTAAACAAGCCAGAAATAATGCTGCTTCCTTGCATGAGGCTGAATGAGTTTTTATTTTATTTTATTCTGATTAATTTTTTTTATCAAAATGGGAGAAACACATTTGATGTCAAATGTAAAAATAACTGTAATTTAAACAAAACTATAATTGTTTATTTAATAAAGTCAGCTCTGACAAAAATAGTAGAAATCATTTATTAGTGTATGTTACAAAGCATTTGTTAGTGTGCAACGACAACAACAGCATTCATTGTAGTTTGACATTATGACAAAGACATGATACAGACCATACATAAAAATCTTCATTAATCCTAAGAGGAGAAATTTATTTTATTATTATTACTTCATTTCGGTGTTTAAAATAAGACCTTTCACTGTGGAGAAATACACATCCAGTCACCAAAAAAAGACAACCATCTTCTGTCAAGAGTCGGTTGTTTCACAGATTTCTACGACTTGCACAGAAACATAAGGAGTAGCTGTCTTCCCTTATATTGCACAACATGTTACTGGCTCCAACATTTCAATTTAAAAAGCACCCTTTGCATCTCGTCAATAAGAGCTTCACAACTAACCTATTAAGTGTACATTCCCTTCTTTAATGAAACTTGCATGGAGTTAGTGCTAGATACATGATTTTAGAGAAACAAAGAAAAATTATTCAGATTTGTGAAAAAATGCAACAAAAAAAATCTCCTGTAGTACATAAGCAGCTTCACAGTAAAAGCTCCAAAATTGTTTTGCATAGATGACAAAAAGTAAAGACGTAACCATGAGTATCTTTAGGCTGCCCATGTTGCTTTTTTGTTATAATAAATAAGTTCTGCTCTAGTTTTTGGGATAAATAATGTTAAGTTTGTTGCACTGATTACAATGCTAACTGTAGGAGAGTTTAATTTAACATTTCATCTAATCTAAAGTGATTTCAGGATATCAAAGTTCAATCAATCCTAAACGCAAGCCTAAGAAACCAAAGGTTTAAAAAAAAAAAATCAAAAATTGCTATGCTTCAGGAAAAATGTCCAAGAAAAACTCTTTTGTGGACATTTACTAAGTGGGGAAATTCCCCAAATTAAAAACATAATGCAACCAAAGCTTAACGTTCAACAGAATATGCAGATGTTTTGAAAGAATTTCTAACTTCTTGTTAGACTTTGGTAAGAATAAAAGACAGTAAAGAGGGTCATTTCTTCTAGCTGGTCTTCAAAATGGGAAGAAAACCCAGGATTAGTCCCTTTTTAATTTAGGCAGATGTGCTGGCAACAATAAAAAGGTATTAAACTAAACGTACCCACTTGAACATCTGGAGCTCACGTTAAAAGGTTTAGAACAACTTTTTAGAGAATAGTAGCATTTGGGATTATTGTTAAGTCCCTTTAAAACCAGTTATTCTACTTTTAAACATTTTCCCCAGGGTTGCAAATATAAATAAAGGAGTGTTATGGGTCAGTCTCCTTACAAAGAACTGAGTCCTAATTTGTTTATTTCAAACAGCCGGTATGATGACTGTTGCTATTTGAAGGTGACTTTAATGGAACTCTGATAGCGCCACATAATTAAAGTTGTTGTAGGTTAGTTTCAAACTATCTGCTAATTTAAAAACCACAAACTTATGATAGGTTAGAACTGAGCAGCTAATTCAGCATCTGAGAGGAAATGTAGCACATTTAAAACTACTGGGGAAAATAAATTATCACTGTAGAATCCACACTAAATGATTTGCACCACAATGTAGTGAGTCACATTATTTGAGCTGCTTTCCCTCATCTAAATCCTTAATGATTAATACTTTAAAAAATGCATTCAAAGGGATGTAACTATACAGGCCCTCTGTTCAATCTTTTGTCCAGTGGGATATGAAAACTTTCTCAAATTCTATTTCTCCAAGTGGATAATCCTCACAATTACGGTATACTTTGTCTTTCTGCTAAAACCATAAATTCTCTGGTTATTTGTAACATTTTGAATCTAAAACCACAAAAAAATGTGATCTTTTTCCAAATGACACCTCTTCCATATTTAAGTTGAGTTTTAAAATGAAAGTTTGATTGACTAATGAGCAAAACTTACATTAGTGTCTATTGTGGAAAATGTAGTGAGTTATCCAACGGCTAGCTATCCCTTTCAGTTAAAAAACAGAACAAATTGTAGTTTTTTGTTGTATGAGTAAGGAGAAAAGAAGGCTCAGATTGTTCTCTGATATGTTCTTCCTGGTGCACACCAAAGCTGGTGAGAAGGTTAGATTTCATGGCGGCGGCGGCGGCTCTTCAGTTCTCAGCAGCTCTACCTCGGCTGAAGATCGGGGTAGAAAACTCCGTGCACCACGCCTTCAATCACAACGTTGGAAAATGTATCTGAAAACCAAAGAAGTTGCAAGTCAAAAAAAAAAGCACATATAACTTCACACTTTGCTTTTCCTTAAATGTAATTTAACTCATTTCAATGTGCAGAGCTGTGAAAGAGTATTTAACCCCCTAAATATTTAAACTGGTTTGCCTTTTTCTCACACTACAATATTTCAGACAGAAAAAAAGAATACTTTATGGCAAAGATGAGTCAATATAAATTTAAGTTTTCACATGTTGATTCTTTTTATTATTAAGGGAAATAAGCATTGATTTTTTTTGGTATGCAGTTGTGATAATATTAAGTCCTTTACGTCCTCATAAATGTATTTTATTCAAATTTTTAGCTCTAAACGGTAAAATTTGGCAAAAACCTGGCATATGTTGGATAAGTTATGAGAATGCTGTCGCACGCTGGCACACGTCGACATATGGCAAATACGTCGTATGGTCCATAAGTAAAAGGTAAGTTATCTGACTAAACTAACAAGGTGTGACAGGAGCTTAACATTGGAGGATTTCTTAAAATTGAAATCACAACATCATTTAGATATAAACACAGACCTTCCAAACCCTTTGCTCAATAGCCACAACTACTGTTTGAGTCGATGAGGTGCGATCGCAGTAACTTTAGAGAGCATTCGTAATTTAATAAATACTTATGTTGTTAGGATTTATACCATTTAACTGTAAAGGAAAATTAAAAGTAGGGCAAAAGCTTTTTTTTCCTCTCTCCAAACAATGGAGTCATTATGTTTGCGCACCGTGTGCAGAGGGCAGCAGGTATGGATCTCTGAGATACACCATGACTGGCTGATGAGACAGTTTGCTGAAAAAGAGACAGAAAAGGAGAAGTGAGAGGGTGAAGTTCAGAAGTAGATCAAACACAGTCTCATGCACTAACAGGTTAAAGTGCAACACAAGCGCATGACCTGCTGGTTTATACAAAGAACTCCAAAATGACTCACCTTGATTCCATTGATTCTGTGTCAAAAGAGCTAAAAGGAAGAAAGGAAAAGTCAGACAACAAAGTCTCTCAAATCTGGGAACAAAACTCTCCCACTAACAAACGCCACCACAAATTGCTCTCTATTTTTAATCTAAAGCCGGCCTGCAGTTCCAACTCACCCGCAGCTTTCCGTTTTTGGCACTGAAGGAAAATGGCGGATGTTGAGGAAATCCAGGAATATCTTTGGGAGGACCTCATTTTCCATAATTACAGTCTGAGGAACAAAAACAAAAGGAGATTTCGGTGAGAGCGCCACACAGGGAAGCTGAGGCACATTGCTCGGCGTGGGCAATGCCAGCTGGGGAAAGAGTTTCTCCTTGACAAAAGGAGACAGTGTGTGTACCAACCTGCAGATAGAGCTCCAGGCCTTGCCTCCTCTGCTCCAGAACTTTGGGGACCCAGTTTCTGACATGCTTCGAAGGGATTTCAGGAGGTTTTATGCTTTTTTTCAGCTGAAAAGGTTTTTAAGAATATTAACTTAAAAAATATATATTTTTTAATAAAGAACGTATATACAGTGTTACACAAATATTCAAAGTGTAATTTATTAGCTTAGCACAAAACCTAAACAAATGCAGTTAGTGAAAAAGCCTTAAACCATCATAAATGTTCATGTTATCCTAATGTTTTTAAAGCTATCTTAAAAAATTATTACTCAGACTTTCCTGCATTACTTTTATACTTTAAGTAGTTTTTAAAATGCTACTTTTAAACCTTTCCTGGAGTTAAAAGCTTAAGTTGATAAGTTGATACTTCTTCTTGAGTAAGAAATATCAATGCTTTTGACACCTCTGGGTAAAGAAACCTTTATTACTTCAAATCAACCTCATCAAATATTTCCTTTGAACAGCGACGTGAACTTTCCTCAGAGGTCTATATTCATCAGTGAATTGAATACAAAAAAAATTACTTAAATCTAACTTTTGACAATCAGTATAATCTAAAAATGTGTGCGTTATTAAATAGTGCGCAGAGAGGATGTTAAAAGGAGGAGGATGTTGTAGGTATATTTGCATGTATAATAGTATAGATTATATTTGAAACAGGAATTCAGTGAGTTTTCTCTTCTTTTTTATTTTTTAAAAGTATAATAACAAACACTAGTGATTAGACACCATTTTCATGATCAAAAATCATTTAAAAACAGGCTGTTCATTTTAAAAATGGATATGCATAAAAAACATCACCTTCAAAAAGTGTGGAAACAGACTAAACTTGATTTTGATCGTTTCAAATTACTTAGAAACTGAACTACTTTTAAACAGCAAACTTCTATTTTTTCAGATATAATGGTTCAATATTACAGCACTAATACCTCATGAGAAAAAAAACAAACAAACCAAGTTACGTCTCACCATTTTGTGCAAATTGTGGAATTCACTGTAGCGTTTCTCCACACTGTGCAGTCTGCCATTCACAAGAACGTCAATTTTAAAGACCTAAGAGGAAAGAAAGACAAAGAAAAAAAAAGTGAACTCATCTTTTAGGAGGTGCACTTCATTTTGTCAACATTTAGCTGCTTTATATAAAGGAAACATCTGTCTGCTTGGGGGGGCTGATGTCATAATGACATTTAACATCCCTGCAAAGTACATAGATACTTCCCGATCTCAGCTGCATTGTTCCCTAGTGTTCCCAGTGACAGCGAGCCCAGGAGGAGGTCTGAGTGACAACTGTGTTGGTTATAATAAAAAGAAAGGAAAGGCTGGATCTAAAATCAATGGGCTGCTCTGAGACTCTACCTTTGATGGAAGGCAGCTCACATAGCAATGGATGTCAGAAAAGGTCAAGGTTCTCAACACCAAAACCAGAAAAAATGTAGTTTCTGGGCATCATAGTGTTATGCTCTAGATATGTGTCGCAGGTGGATATATTAGAGCAATCAGTTTCTTCATCTGAACCTCCGTCTAGGCTCCATTTCTTCTACATGGATTGGGAAGCTTGTCTGAGTCAACAGGGAAGATAATCAGAGCTGAATATATGATAATCCTAAAAAGAAAACAGTTAGAGGCAACAGCAGACATCACCTTTCAGCAGGCGACCAACCCTAAACATGCAGCCAGCATGTAGGGAGTGTCCAGTGGGTTAGAGCAGTGCGCTTATGCTTGGAGAAGGTAGCAAGTACCAGGTTTGATCCCCACAGCCTCCACTCTGGTACCCTTAACCCCTCACTGCTCCCCAGGCGCCACACAATGGCAGCCCACTGCTCCCCAAGGGGATGGGTTCAATGCAGAGAGTTGATTTCCCAATTGTGGGACAATAAATTGATTAACACATTGTGATGATTTAGATTAAAATATAATCATATGACCAAGTTACAGAACAGAACCTTATAAACATGGTACTTCCCCTAATTATTAAATCAAGAGAGAGTAAAATAATGAACTTAATGAGGATCTGCAGGAGATGCATCACTCAACACCTCTCTGTCCATAAACTGTTAGAGCTGCTGGTGTCAACATGCCACACAAAGGTCATCAACGACCCTGCTTGAAATATCCTTAAATATATAATTCTCACGTTCTCTGAGTTGCTGACATTTTGGAGAATATTTCCGTGGAAACACAACAAATGATCATCTAAAACCCAACAGGGAAAGCTGATCTGCAGTGGCTCTTTAATTTAAACGGCCAGGCTCAAAGTCAGAGTGTAACTGAGTTACATTAAAAAAATTGACGTTTGACATAAGGATCGATTCAGATGTGAGGATTCTATGTGTGACGCGAAAATACTAATTGTTTAAAATGTTCAGAAGCAACTCGTTTAAATGGGACTCTCTTTTAGCATTTAGACGGACACAGACGGAGGTGTCCGTGGATCCTACCGTGAATCCTTTCTCCATAGAGCTGTTCTCTGAGCGGAACGACGGGATCGACAACCGGATCGGATGCATTTCTTCCCGGGGAAAACGGTTCTGTTTAGGTTCGGTCTGATCTGACCCAGACACATAAACACATTTATCCCAAACACAGACCGCTGTTGGTTAACTCCAGTTAGTATGATAAAAATCACTGGATTTAAAAAAAACTCAATCGGGTCTACGTGCTGCCCCCTGGTGGATTGGATGACATGGATTTTGACATGGATTAAAAAGAAAGACTAACGTTTTTTATGATTTTTTTCCCTAGATAAAATAGTTTATAGCTTCGTTTATTATATTCAAATAAAATTATAAAATATATAAAATAATATATATATATATATATATATACTAAATAATATACATTCTACAATAAAAATTAAATGTATTATGCTTGTTAAAAGCATCTGTAATTATCTTCAAATATAAACAATCGTTTATATTTTATCATAAAACTTTTTTATTTAGCGACATGCATTTGTGACAATAATGGTAATTATAAAATGTCTCATTTTAATGTATTTTGTTTTTAAAAAGCGTTCATATATACACAATTTCCCTTTAAATAAAAACACTCCTTTAATGATAGATAGATAGATAGATAGATAGATAGATAGATAGATAGATAGATAGATAGATAGATAGATAGATAGATAGATAGATAGATAGATAGATAGATAGATAGATAGATAGATAGATAGATAGATAGATAGATAGATAGATAGATAGATCAGGATACTTGTCTAATTTCTTGAGGGATATTTTTCAAAACAGGAGCAACTTATCAGTTATTTCTTTTCGTCTTCTTTTTTAAACACATTTTATTTTTATTACAATTTTGCAAAAAAGATAGAATAAGACATGTGAAAAACCAGAAGTATAAGAACATATCCCCCCAAAATAATGTGCGAAAACCACATGAAAAGCAGTTATATTAAAGAGTGTTATATTCCAACATATAATAAATGTACTATGATTTTAGATAAACATTTTATTTTTTAGCTGCTATATACTGACTAAGCATTAAAGAGTAGGTATCATTATGTCTTTTCTCTAAGCCCTTGAATTTAACAGATATATATTTTCTTAAGTGTGTTGAGATACAGCCAAATGCTATACAAGAAACAGAAAAAATGGTTAAACAGAACAAATTCCTATAAGCAAAAAGAATTCACTGTAATCTGGTGCTATGACAACTGATTGTTTTTTAATGCTAAGGTGACTGTATGTCACATAATGTTTTTAAATGTCTTTCAGAAAACCCCTGTTGGTAATCCTAATCCGTTCACAGGGGAACTTGCAGAATATCAGTCGATCACAGGTGTTAATATCTGAAAAATATAGAAACGCAAAGAGCATGTGAACAAATAGAGGACAGAAACTTTAATAAAAGATAAAATATCACCTGATCTTTCATACTTACGACGACATGTGACAGCCAGAAACATAGGCATAGTTTCCGGTGTAGCGTACATCACAGCGCACAATGTTGTTGGAATAATCAGATTCTTCAACCTGATAGTGAGGATTTACACTAATCTGTGCACAATTAAAACGTGCAACATCATTAGAAACAGCATCATGGAGAAAAATAGCGAGAAAAATAGTGGGAATCAAAAACAAAGTTATCTGCCACAAACCTTGAGGGTATATTGTCCAGGTTTCACATCTGTAATGTCAATCCACTGACAGTCGATGTCTGCGTTGTAGGTATCATAACATCCTGGACTCAGCCCCTACATATTAGTATCCATGTACAACAACGAAATCAGAAATTTAGTTTAAAAAATTGCATATAGATTAAAGTATAACTTTAACATATAATAAACTCTGCTATTTCTTTATAATAAAAAGAACAATTTAATATGCAATTAAAGTCTAAAATCCCAAATAATCAAATGAGAAATTGAGAAATAGATAATAGAATACAGAAAATGACCACTGTGGATGGTGAGTTGGCACATGTCAAATTATGGTGCATAAAATGTTTTTTAAAAATGTCATTTATAATGTGGAGCTTAATCCCAACTTTTATAACAGTCCATAGGTACTTAAGCAATACCTGATATTAGCTTTGGATTCCAATAAGTAGTTTAAGTCCCCAACTCATCTCCTAAAACCTGCATCTGTATCCCGTCTGTAATTTGATGTCAGCCACTGAACTGTTTAGCCAAGATTAACTAACAAAACCCTAAAGCTCCCTGCCTCTTTTCATGTGCATGCATGTACCCAGTGTTATTGGACAAGCACAGTATTTTGTTGGTTAAGAAAGTCTTTATTCTTAGTATTCGATTTTCAGCCTTTAGAATTATGTTTATATGAGAAAGATGCTGCATTGGCTGCTGCAGCTTTCTTTTCACCTTACGTTACAGGATCTTAATGATCCACACAAAGTAGTGACTTTTATTCTTGATGGAGAGAACTTGCATAAAATTAAAATACCGGTAAATAAAAATTTGTTGTGAACATAAAGGTCTGAAGCTTGAGATTAATTGATCAAAACGTCTATTGACCTTTTAAGACACTAGTACATTACTGAGAAATAACGGTTATTTGGACAAAGTGACAGGATGTTCTGCAAAAAAGCATTGGTTACAAAACCGGAGCTCATTTTGTAACCTGAGTGTGTGACGTGCAGGCGTATCTCCTGTAGTATCCGTAATCACAGGAGGTGTCCTCCAAGCAGAAGCTAGCCTTGTGGCCCTCTGCCACCGAGTGCTGAGTGGTGGCATCCAGCAGTTCGTAAAGGCTGAACTCATCCATGCTGTGGTAGTGCCTGTCGATCATCAACAGGACATGGGTCATTAACAGAAAAAAAAATATAAGAATCTCTCTTTTTTCCCATTGTACAGGATATCATACAATTTAATTAGGCTGCATTTCTTTTCATGTGAAAAAAAATGGACATCATGTGTCATAATGCCAGCTTCACAAATAATAATTCTATTTAGAATGTATAGAGTCCTGAGTTGTTCAACATCTGGTTTAACTCTGCGGTCTCAAAGGAAACAGTCTGGCCTTTAACTGCAGTTGACTCTCCAAACACTGACCAAAAATCTATACAGACTACATCAACAGTTTGCTGGATCTTGGCCAGATGTTCTCCATGTTGGGAAACAGCCCAGCAACCCTCTCAATCCACAGCATAACGATGGAATGAGGTAGTTTCAGGAGAAACTAAAGCTGGACTTTTACAGTAAACCTAGGGAAGAGACCAAAGGATCAGTATATTTCACCTACATAATGATTCGTTTTTTTTTTAAGTACTTTTGTTAGCAACACTAGGCTTTGCAGTTGTCAATGAATCAAATTGGACAAGGGAAGGTCATGATTTAGTAGGATTCAATACACTCTCCTAATGCGTACACAAAACAGAAAGAAGGCACGCATGGCTGTGGTTTAGCTGCAGATATAATGATAACATTTGTTAAAAATGAAAATGTCATCAGCGTATGGTGCAAAAGTGTTCTTTGGTATTACTTAATCCCTTTTATAAGTTTGTCATAAATCTGAACTAAGTACCACAAAACTTACATGGTGTATGTGAACCATTTATCCCGACTAATGCGTGATAAACAATAAGAATATCATTATTAGAAGCACATTGTTGCAATGTAATGTTTGGAGTTATGCTGGACAATGTCTAATTTAAACACTGAATACAAAATACTTATTTTCTGATAGCCAAATTAACACCTACATTAATTGGTTCTCTCTAACTGGTGATTGTAAATAATATATATTTTTTAACTATTGTTAAGAATTCAGGCAGTAAGACTAAAATAGTGGTGAAGATTCAGAATTTCTGTAAAAATGTAGCTTTCTACTAAAAGGATTTGTTCAAATGAATACTGCAGAGAAGTGATAGTAGTAATCTGGTAATTTGAGGGTTGCTTTCTTGATTTATGGACCCTATGCAGCTTGATGATTTCTTCTTGAGCAAGACAATAAGACCTACGTTGCCTACTGGTCTACATACCAGTATGTGCGTGCCTGTGTATACTGCCAATTTCATTATGTAGTATATCTGTTTAGTGATTTATAAGTTCATTCCAGATTATAAAAATAGAAAATTAATATTTGAGTTTTACACTTCATAGATTGTCTTTTTACTTTTTATTGAACAGTTTTACTCTTTGTTTTATTAAGCAGATTTATGGGATGAAAGAGATCACAAAACTGAGTGGGAACAGTTTACAAGCTGACTCACAATGGCATAAAAAAAGGAGCAAAACCAAAAACTACACAGGCGGAGAAAGGGTGTCTGTGTGATATTGTGGTGGACAGCGTGGACGTGAACTTTCTACTCACTGGTGGCAGCTGTGCCACTCCCAGGAGTAGCGTGGCCTGCTTGGGAGGAAGTCAGCGGTGCCCTGGTTCTTAACTCTCTGGGGAAACCTCAGCAGCACTCTGGTGTCATAGTCTCTTGCTCCATAAGCTGAACTGAAAGCATAGAGAAAAGAAAACAGATGTGATTGAAGGGATAGAAAACACCTTCTTAGGTGGACATAATGACATCACCACTGATGTTTTCCCTGCTTCATCTCTTCCTCAGAGTGGAGCAGACTCTCATGGGACAAACTGAACTCAGTCTGTGTGTCAGTGTGTTTAAATGCTGGGTGGAAAAAAAAAATCCTTCAGAGGCGCACAGTTGTTTGGGTTAGTCCTTGATAATGTGTTTACCATTTGGGCTTTCTCTCTCAGTGCAGGCTATGATTAAACTTTAACAGAAATCCACCAACCCCACCCCCTTCCTACACCATCAGCTGTAGGAGTCACTTAATTTTAACTCATCTCACTGCTTCCACTAGGCAGCCCTCACCCACAAACACTTAGGTGGTTGTTATGGCTCGGAGCTGCCTGATTCACACTCAGCAACCCCCACCTCTTATTTTTCCCCCCCGTGATTTCTTGTAAATCACTAAAGAGGAGAACATACCTTGACAAACAGTTTTCCTCAGCTGCACATCTCAGGTTGTACATTGGTGCCCTTTGGACATAAACTGAAGCTTGAATGTAGTATGGGTCAGGCACGAGATCAGGGAGACCTACAAATTGGTAGGAAAATACAAGCCAATAAGACAATAAAATAGGAAGATAGGAAATGGTAAATGCCAGAAGAAAAAAAAACGCAACTTGGAAGGTTTTAATTTAAAAGCTTACCTTTGTTCACTTTTAAAGCAACTATATTAAAGGGGCATAGTCATGTACTATGAATTCATAAATATCTGCAGCAGTGCCTTACTTTGATTTCCCATTTCTGTTAACTTAATATATTTTATTTCTGTGTTTTAAAGTTTGTTTTTGTTCCATAAGATCACAGGTGGTGTGGTATGACATTATGTATGTGGAGCACTTGGTTTTTAAGGCTCAAAAACGACTAAGTGAACCTGATGAGGACAAACAATTGGCATACGGTATATTGCTTTATTTTATTTTGGTGTGTTTGCTATAGGCCTTGTCTGTAATTGTCTCGCTTTAATGTAGATAACTAATATCAACAATTGGTTAGTTTCTTAGAATTACTTTGAATAGCTGCTATATCCCACCATACTTAATTCAAATTGAGTGCATTTATTTTTCCCATTCAGTATTTTCTCCTTTTCTACATTTAATATGTTAGGATAGGCTGTATTGTGAGAAATACAATTTTAGTGATAGATTAGAACCAAAATTAAATATGTGTTGGAAAAAGTTTCTGTATATGACTAAGATATAATGCTTTGCAGTTCACTGTGACTAGCTTAGCGAAAGCAGTTATAGTGAAGTCAAACTTGCATTATATGAATAAATTAGTCATGGAACAGTTTTCCTACAGTAGGCTATCGTAAGAATAGATTTACGCTGAATAGATAAATACAACAACGTTTGCTCGAAAATGGCACTGCTAAGCCAATTGTTCCTCAAAAAAAGAAACTGTCCAAGATTTATAAACAAAAGAATAAGCCTATTTAATTCAGGTCCAAATGCATGCACACTTATACAGACAGAAGAAAATTAGAAGAAAAAAAAATCGGTCAGGCCATTCAGTAACTATATGGCGCCCAGAAAAAAAAAGACTTAAACATAAAGTTCAAACAAATCATTGCTAAACTGCTGTTAGAAAACCTCGTTTAGCAAAAGTTCTAACTTCAAAATCAGACTTGATCTAAGCTTGTAGCCTTGGTTGCCAGTGAATTGAACAGTTTGGCTGGTTGTACCTTCCAACTTGTATGAATACATGTAAAAGCTTCTCCAGTATAAAATAGTTGAAGGTTAGGTTTGTTTTTGGCAGTCATTACAAATAAACAATAGATCAGCCAAAAAGTTTACATCTAAAATAATAGACTAAAAAGACTGCATGCAGTTTGAGCTAAATTGGCGGGTAAGCTCATAAAGTCATATAGGCTAAATTAACTTAAGCTACCAAGGAATAGCACCACCAAGCTGTAGTTTGAATTATCTTCACATAGCATGTTAGATAAAGTTTAGAGAGTGTGTTACAATTTCACACTTTTTAATGGCCAATCATTTTTCTTAATACATTATCTATTTATTGGCTCTTGATTACCCCACACACCCACACTTCTGACAAATATTTGGAAGCATTTTTCCTCTCTTACCATACTGATGATACCTTGTGCCATATCCAGGTCTTGACCTTGGTCTTGGTCTCTCATAAACATCATAATAATTGTAATATGGATTATTATTGTCAATAGACTTGTATGGATCGTAAGGGTCATCACCGACCATCATGTCATTAACTCTGGGCAGAGGCGGACTGACTTGGACATTTTCCTGGCTCGCATTGGATGTGCGGTTCCTTTGCGCTCTGGTGAGCTCCGCGGGTCGTTCCTGGTGAAGATGCTGACGGTGCTCTTGCCCTCTCACAAGAGTCAGGAGGCTTCGGGGAGGCTGTTGCTGCTGCTGCTGACTCGGGGAATCCTGGTGTCTCACGTCCGCATCTCGGATGATGGCGACAGGTCGAGGCTGTTCCTCTTCTTGCGCTGCGCCCCTGCGCTTCGGAGGGACATACTCTGAACCCTGGCTTAAAAGGCTGAAAACCTTGCCGTTGTGAGACCACTGCAGCGTCTGCCGAAAAGCGCCTCTGCGGTCATTTCTTTGTTGCCCACCCGGATTCCTCTGAGAGCAGCATAATTGCAGGAGCACAACAAATATACAGAAGCATACGTAAAAAGTGCCAAATGCGCGTAATCCCATTATAAATTAATGAAAGTCAGAAAATATGGAAAGACAAGTATTAAAATAATCACGTTTCCTAAACGTTACCAGTTTTCATGTCTTAATGAAGAAGCAGGGATAATGAAAAGCTAAATGTTAGTGTTTCCTTGTGAACTCATATCGGTTTTCTGCAGCCTAGAGATGCATAAGATGATTATTATGAGGAGGAGGAGTTCAGCATTTGGAGGAGTATGGGATCTTGTTATACAAGTCTGATGCTGCTGCTCATGTAACCACAGAGATGTGCGGTCCTGCTCAACCAAAATTACACAATCTGACTATTTATAAGGTTAAAAAATCGAACCTGATCTCAACATGTCTTGGAAAATGCATTTGCACCTATTGTGCCTTTTCACAACTTCTTCTTCCACAACTTCACTTTATTGAATAAATATTTTTGTGATAGACAAAAAACGTGGTGAATGATTGTGACGTGGAAGGAGAGGGATAGTTATCCTATTTTTAGAAATAAACATCTAAAAAGTGTGATGTTTTTACAGCAGTTGCAAATTAGACTTGAAATTTTAGTATGCCAAAGTCTAGCAAAGATCACTGGATAGGGAAACTTTTGTCAGGTTATGAAAAAAAGTATTAATCTTAATATGTCTCCTTAGTATGTGGTGCTGTAACACTTCTGAGATCCTCCTCACTGATCTGGTTGGAAAATGCATAACTCCTTAAGCCCCCTGCACTTTCCAACATCTTACGGAAACAATCTCCCACAAACCCACCCTCCTCTTCTTCTCTAGAAATTCTTCTGTGCTTACAGTGCTTTCCTGAAAACGTGGAATCCAAACACATCTCACTGCAATCTTCTATAAGGTCATAATAAGTAATATCACAGTAAAAAGGAGGAGGGAAAAGGGAGTCTGGGTGGGGATACATGATATCTTAGTCTCTTGGCAGACTGCTGACCCACAACTCTCCTGATGAATTGGAGTCATTTGCAAGAGGCAAGTCAAAACCCGGCTCTGCTGGTATTACTCCAGATGTATAATGCATAGGTTGGAAAGCGCAATCCAAGCTGTTCTTTTCTCTGTGTGCAGAAAAGCAGGAAAATCTTTCTAGCATCTACAACACAGACCTCACAATGGTTGCTGCTAAACCACAGTAGCTTGTCGCCTAGATTTTATATATTCTCACAACAAAATATAAAAGCAAAGAGTGTGAGTCATATAAAATTGAGTTTTTTTTATTTTGTCAAAATGCCATAGTTTAGCAGAGTTTATTTTTGAAGCATTAGTCAATTTCTAAAGAATCTCATTTGCTATTTAAAAAAAAACCCACATCTTGATTCAATATGGCAGATGAGCATGAAAAAGAAAGTACTAACCGCATTAGTCTTCATCCTCTCAAACTGGATCAGCTAATAATATAAGGCTTATTACAGTTAGATCTTATTAAATAACAACATGTTACCATAACTATGTAGACGACACACGGCTATACATTACTGTGCAACCAGGTGATACAATACCATTCAAGGGCTGGTTAAGTGTAATGAAAATAAATCGACGTATTACTGTGCCAAATTTAGCTATAGCTTCAATTAATACAGCTAGAAACTACTAGTCCGATTTGAAATCTCAGTGTTGTGATGGATTCAGACCTGAACTTTCAGAGACCATGTATCAACAGCCCAAACCTCTCAGGTCTTCTGGCTCTGATCTACTTTGCAGACCCAGAACCAAACATGGAGAAGCAGCTTTTAGTTCTTAAGCTCTACTTATTCAACCTGGAATAAACTCCCAGAAAACTGATTAAATATAGAGATTAAATATATATTTGTTAAGAGTGGCCATTGGCTGTAACTTTAGTTAAGGTTTCAATCCAACTTTCCTTTTTTAATATTTTTTTTCCTTTGCTTTCAATATAATTACTATATTTTAATTCACTTGAAAGGACCACACCAAAACTGAATATGAGTTTAGAGGTTTATTGACTGAATGTAGGATGAAGGGATGAAAGGATGAGGGGATGAAAGGATGTGGGATGAAGGGATGAAAGGCAGAAGGGATGATGGGATAAAAGGATGAAAGGTTAGGGGTTTGTGGTTCTGAGAAAATCTGAGGAGTAAACAGAGGGTGTGAAAACTTTTGTGTGGAGGTATGATCCCCTGAGGAACTCGGTTCTGGTTAATTTCTCCGAGCCTGAACTGAACCCCCTAGATCAAGAGTCACCAACCTGGTGCCCGCAGGCACCAAGGGCTCCCAGGGACCGCATGGGGCGCTCTAAACATCCTCTGAAAACAATACAACTCACCAATTTGCTAAGTTTGACACTTTATTTGATTCTGCTGTTTGTTTTAATCACACTTGCATTTATAGAGTTGTCAAAATGATAATATCTATAAAAACCCATAAAAAATATGTTTATATATAATATATGAAGTTTAGAAGACCCCCAGACTGCTTGAATGGGTCAATTGGCAGTGCTCGGAGTTGGACGATTTTCACGTGATCAGCCACGATAGTTGAGTAGCCGGTCATTATGATGACCACCCATTTAAGCACCAGTCATTGCATTGTTGATTAATTTTCCTTCTGAGCAGACATGCATCTTTCTACTACTCTTTGCCCATGTTTGTTTTGGTCTAAGTGTGCAAAACAGGAGGACTAACCGGGAGATAGAGCTCTGTACCTGGTTCCCAGCTGTGCTGCCCTCATTTTTAAAAAACACCTTAAACCTCTTAAGAGCCTTCCCGCATTATCATTTGTTAACATTATTTTCTCTATCTCGTATTCTTGGACCATACCACAGAGAAGAAAAAGAATAGATAATGAGATTAACGGAGATCGGAAAGGGAAAAGGGTGAAGGGAGGCTGAGTTTGACGTATCATACGGACTGAGAGGAAGAGGTTAGCAGTTATAAATAGAGTGCTAGGGGATCTGAGGAGTGGTTTGGTGTGGCCCTGCTCCTGAACTTAATTTAATCATCTCCATTTATTCACTTGTATTGTCTTTAATTATTTATGTTTTTACTAATGCCACTGCAATGTGTCCTATAAATAAACGTCTCTGGTCTACAAGAAGTCCGAAGGCGTTTAATGTAGTTAAACATAGATATACAATTATTGTTTCCAAAAAAAAAAAAAAAAAATACAAGGAATAAAGCTATTTTAACTCAAAAAATGCAGTCTTGCAATGTGAAGGGAACACTTGGTTACTTTTTTGTTGTTTCACATCCAAGGGGCTATGGGCAGAAAATCTGCTATTAAGCATTACTATCAGTATAGGATTATGCACCTCAGGTTTTTAGTCTCTTGTTGTTCTCCTTTTTTTAATTATCTCCTTCAGTCACCAATTTTTTCCCCAGCAGTTATTGTCATTACATTGCCACAAGTACAGAGCAACACAATGAACTCTACATTTAACCCATCCCCTTGGGGAGCAGTGTGGGGTTAAGGGTCTTGCTCAGGGACCCAGGTTGGCAGTCTGTGGAGTGCGGATTGAACTTAGAACCTCTGGATTCCAAGAGCAAAGTCCTTAACTGCGGCCACCACTCCTCATAAAAATAAATGTAAATCCCTTTATTGTCCCACATTTGGGAAATTCACTCTCTGCATTTAACCCATCCCCTTGGGGAGCAGTGGGCTGCCATTGTGTGGTACCCAGGGAGCAGTGAGGGGTTAAGGGATTTGCACAGGAACCCAGAGTGAAGGCTGTGGGGATCGAACCATGTACTTGAAACCTTCTCAGGGCACAAGCGCACTTCTGTAACCCACCAGTCCAACACTGTTGAGTCTAGATTGATGTATAGGCCTAACACTTATTCTTGTTTTCATCCTTTCCTGATTTTTTGACTTTTTTATAGTTTAGATTTTGAACAGTCACTGATTTAATGTCTAGGTACCAAGACTGGATGGAAAGATTTGAAAAAGTAACTGTCAAAGTCCTATAATAAAGAAATAACAACTTAAAGGTCTAATATGCAAAATAAATATATTTGTCCTGAAGCCTGTTTAAGAGTTTCACATCTGGAGAAAAAAACACAGTCATGTCTCTCTCTACCTTGCTCCACCTCTTAGCCATGGTCGGGCACACAATACGATTTTTGGCCCTATTATGCCCCTTTTTTTCAATTTTTCCATTTTTTCAAGAATTTTTTTGGACCAGGCCAAGTTTTAGTTTTATTGTGTTTCCTGCGTTGCGTAGCATACAGGCGTTAGTGAGGGGGCGATTGAAATTATACATGGTTTAAATTCAGTCGGCCTTGTGAGGTGATTGTTAGCGTTTCCTGTGCAAGCAAGGGAATACTTCTTCTCTGACTTTACTTCCTGATTGACAAGTCCGACCAACACCATCTCTCTACTGGGCTGAGTCCGATCAGTGGTTTTAGGTTGGTTGTTAGATTGCCTCAGAGCATTGGACCGTACAATGTAAGAACAGATATCATGAGCACAGTACAGTGCATGTCTGCCTGAATGTGTGCTCAAAATGGTCTGTCTGAAAAGCATGCTCTTTATGGCTTTATAAGTGGAAATAACCACTCATACCTGCTTACTGTAGTGCCTGTGAACACCTTAGCAATACAGCTAACTTTTGTGTCATCAGCTATTATGATAAGCAGGTGTTTTTATAAGATGGATAATCTTCTCTGTGCTTCAAAGTCTTTTATTTACAGGATAGCTGCAGTAATTCTGATTGTGTGCTTGGGTTAAATTATTGTTAGTAGTTGATCATGGCATATAGAGGCCGTAGCAGCTCAGGCTAAATGTGTGGTGTAGGCCTACTTGTTGGATTTTTTGGTTTACAGTCTAGAGCTTCAGGCCGACCCTTGATTCCATATTTAAAAGAAATGCTCCGTGCCGTTTATTGACATGCTTAGAGTAAGATTTGTCAGTATTTCCAGCAGAATAAAAAATGTGTATTACAACAACATAAATGAAGGACTATGAGCAGTTATCTGGTCAACCTGCTCCTGTTGTGCTTTTGTCACTTATAAGCTGCCCAGAGCAGCCTGTAGCAGCCCAGCAAGGTCAGGCCTTTATCTTATGAACTATTACCACACCATTTAGCCCCCATCTTTACAAACTCTGACTAATTGCCAT